AATAACGCCGTCGCAATATGGCGGTCGTGTGGGAAATACCGTTGTTGTTTGTTCAGCCGGCTAGCTTCCCGCGCGCCTTTTAATTTCCGTGTTTACGGTGTCCGTTTGTACACGGGACGATCCGTCGGGCACGTATGCGAAGAATCGGTGAAATAACATATAGCAGACCGAGAGGGCGGTTGAAGGAGCACCGTGAAACTGAGATTACACGAACTAGAGAGCGAGAGAGAAAGAGAACTAGAGGATCTCGTTCAACACCAAAATGGCGGTGGCTCGCGGGGTTGGAGACGGCACGTGTTTGACAGCCTAACCCAATGGCGTAACGACTGATTGTATAACGTTTACATTTCCGGATTTCTCGGAAAGATTTTGCAAATCGGATCGATACCGTCACGATACGTATTATCGTTCGACATTTGTTCATCACTATTCGAGAGGGATATAACGAAAGTTACGAAAGCTTTCGTCTCTTTACAATTATCTAGAGCTTTTCTATAGTCGAGACGAATTCGCAATTGACGTCTAATGATAGTTCTGTAGTGAGGTCGAAAGGTCCCTGGTAGATTTTCGTTCCTACGACGTTGTTATCGGAAAAATTCTTATCGCTGCTTTCTGAGCCCTACGCCTCTGTGGCTCGACCACCCCCGTCTACCACCCTCCCCTCCCCCTCCAAGTACACCCCTAATGACGTCATAGGACAGTGGCGCCAACAAGCCTGCACTGACGTCAGCTCGGGATATTGGGCAACCGAGTTACCTTTGTGCCATGAATTCCAGATTCTCCTGTCCCGTTTCGCCCGACAGAAAACGACGGAATAGCAACGATAGCAAAAAAGATCATTGCTCTAGTCGTTTAATTCGTGTTTCTTCACCGTGATCATCTACCGATCTTGAGGATTTTCGTTGAAAGATTTGGACCTGGGGGAGGACTTGGGGGTAGTTCAGAGGAACGTTCCACCACCACACACATACGTAATATCGTGGCTTTATCGAACCGTAGCTGTAGAGCCAGCACCTTCGTCATCGATTCACCATGACAACGCGGCAATGACGATTTTCGCTCGTCATTCCTTACCTGAGTTTTTCAATTCGCGACCAGTATGTTCGTCGATTGGCCCGTTCTAACTAGACCACAGTTTATTTTTATACATGCACGATAAACGGCGTATCGATATACATGTATACATATATGTATACACTTCGTCGAATTAACTTTTCTGCCGGTTGTTTCACGAGAACGGAACGGCTGGAATTCATCTTGCATAGAGACGCTTTCACGAAACTAAGAGCGTCTAGCCTAGAAACACGTTCGTTCCGTTCGTTCTATTATTAACGATGGAGAAGAGATCGGGGAAAATGGAAAACGATGCATAGAATACGCGAAAGAATTTGGAGTATCAAAAATTGTGTTCAATGACGCTAGTTTTAGCGCGAGCATTCTAATTTCACGGTTTATCGTCGAAAGTTGGATTGTTACGAATAATCGAATATTCGAATCATTCGAAGACTCGAATATTCGAATTTGATATTCGAAGTATTCAAACTATTCGAATTATTGGAAATATTCAAAGTATTCATATTATTCGAATTATTGGAAATATTCGAAGTATTCATATTATTCGAATTATTGGAAATATTCAAAGTATTCATATTATTCGAATTATTGGAAATATTCAAAGTATTCATATTATTCGAATTATTGGAAATATTCAAAGTATTCATATTATTCGAATTATTGGAAATATTCGAAGTATTCATATTATTCGAATTATTGGAAATATTCGAAGTATTCATATTATTCGAATTATTGGAAATATTCAAAGTATTCGAAGTATGTATTCGAATTCTTCGAATAAATTATCCGTAGGTTAATTCGCTTGAAAAATAATCGAATGGGATGTCCGCTGCGCTTCGAATGCGATTAGGAAGCTCTATTCCCGCGACAGACGTTCGTTGGAAACTCAAGAATCCCGGAAACACCGGTGACGCTGATCGATCCACGCCGTTTCGTACACGTTTCCATGTGCATTTCAATTTACGTGTGCGTAGTATGCATATAGGTGTTCACGTTGAGATCGCAGGGGCCACCACCTGTCTACCGGTCAACAAGCGATTCATTGTCATCGAACTGTACCCGTTTTATTCCCAGTGTATGCGTCCGTGCATTTCAACGAACTCGGAACGAATGAGCTGTCATAAAGGTGGCAACGCTCCAAAAACGTCATCGCAATTAACCGTCGTACACGGGACTGTCAAAACTGTTACTCTGAACAATCCATAAATACTACCGTAGGTTACTCGTACAACTGGAAGTAATACGATCGAATCGGTGAACGAACGTCTCTGTTAGGATACAATTTTACACGACCGGGGAAAAATAAATATTTTCCAAAACTGAACGACGTTTGTCGTTAACCGAGCCACGTTATTTTGAAAAATGGTGTGAGTTCACTCTTCTATCTTGCACGTTCATCTCTGATTCGGTTATATTTATTTTTATAACCACAGGAACCGAATCATCGATTTCCTCGAAAGTGGACTTACAACATTTTCAAAATAAACGGCTCGATTAAGAAACGGGGATGGTAGAACAGTCACCTTTGTCGCCTTCTCGAGCAAGCAGCTTCAAAGAAATGGTAAGTTATATATTTGGTAATCAAAAAGTTACATTTTTTAATATAAAATAATCATTTTTTTAATTTCGCCTGGAACGAAGTATTCGAAAAGTTGCAAGAGTGGTACACGTACGAATTTATTTAAACCGAGATGGAATGCGAATTTTGTTTGTTTGAAAATTTGGCAGAAAACAACCGTTGACATTTGACACGAGAAGTATTCCTCGTGCGTATTCTCGTGCTTACGTCCGTTATCCCAATTTCTCGACGATTCATTGTTGGTTATTCGCGCGCGCGCCTTTACAGTGGAACGGCCATGCAAACGAACACGGATCCCCCGTTTTTATTGTCGCGACGATGACGTCAATTCTCTCTAATCTTGGCGCTCATTTCTGAAAATTATGATAGTACTGACAGGCCAACGTACGACGCACGCTGATGGAACGTTTCGAATAGAATCATCGGTTTCGTGATTACGACCCTCAGAGGCATTTTCCAGGGTGGCCCAAAACTGACTAGATCATTTAAAAATAGAATAACTCTTTTACGTATTAAAAACTGACATTTATTTTTAATTGAAATTATTTTCAATTAGATTTGTAGATTATGTCCTTCAAATGGCCACCATTTTGTTCTTGGCAATGGCGGGAATTTTTGAAAAGTTATTACATTTTTAAATGATCTAGTGACTTTTGGGCCGCCCTGTACAAACAATTTCGCCTTGTCTGTCCGTAATTTCTGATTGAAAAAAAATAATAAATCACTTCGTACGTCGTCTCGATCGGTTTATTCCAGCTTGAAATAAGTAATACCAACATCAAAATCGCGATACTATTATTACACGTCAACCGAATAAATCATGAATAAACGGAGTACATCGTTAAAGATTAAACGACTGCTACCAAATGAATTCTACGACTTCGATTCGAAGTAAACGTCGAGTCACGTACAAATACCGATAAATCTGCGATGATTCGACGTTTTCCACTCGTCGATTGAATTTGTTCCAAGGATACGATCCACGTTCGGGGGCTCTTAGATGCATCGGGAACGTAAGCATTTGTGCACGTACGTGTTCATTGACGCTTTTACTATCGATTTGCATGGTTACCGTATTAACGACCGATGTTACGTAACGATAGCCGCAGCAAGGTCGACGCACGAGACCGATCACGCTGAAAGTTATACTTTCTCCAGATACGTACCCTTACGAGCAAACCCGTTATCGGACCCAACATCCCACCAAACATCCCAGATAGCACGCAGACTTAACGCAGACAGGTTAAATTTATTTTAACAATTTTTTATGTTCTTGTCTAAAACAGTACTTGGTATATTATAGGAAGGGGGAACTGAGAGTTTCGGAAAAGTATGAAAGTAAAATTATCGATGTTTATTTAATCTGTCAGAATACGGGGATTCCTATTGGTGAATAATCGCGAATATTTTGGTTGCCCACACAACGGTTAATCTTCAGGTGGAGGTGTTTGGGATAGAATAGAGACTTTCCAAATAAAGTGGTCCAGTGAAATATTCAAATGCTAATATTTATTATTGTATAAGTATAGACAAAATAGGCATTGCGTGAATATACAGTGCGTGCTACAGACATGAACGTGCAACGTGAATCAAAATATAGGAACATCGGAATAATATTATCTTTCTCGAACAGAGTTGTTTTTCTCCGTTCTTTTTTTTTTTTTTATATATATAAACATGATACACACTACACTGTGAGTTTTCGAAGCGGTGACGCGAGTTACAATTGTGTATCGACTCTAATATTTTTCTTTCATGAAAAGTTCCTCGATGCTGAATAATTTTCTGAACTTACTAATTTAATGACGGTTATCCGTCCCTCGCGACGCGTTCTACATTATTTATACGTGTTCCAATAATACTAAAGCGAAGCGTTCTTCGATATCGTGTCGGTGATGCGTCAGAAACCATAGAGAAACGAGACGGGATGAAACGAAAGAAATGAAATAGAATAAATAAAGTATACGCGAACTACTGCAATGAAGAGATTGTCTTTTTATCGTTTCCGACGCAATACACTCGAATCGTTTGTGAAACGATCCGTATACAGGGTGTTCCGCTTAAAACAGGCCACCTAAATATCTCCTCTGTCTGCGATCATACGAGAAATATTTTTCACGTAATTTTAATGGTTTCAAAAGCCGGCAAGCATTTATTATAACTGTCATTTTTCAATGGTTTTGTCAAGGTCATTCTTGTTTTTTTTATGTATGTGCACATTATTACGGATTTATCCATGTATAATAGTATGACCTTGAAATGACCTTGAACTCTAAAAATGTTAAATTTACTTACAAAAAATTTACTCTAAAAATTTTCAATTGATTTATATAATTATTTTCCACCACCTGATTCGTCTCTTGAAACCATTTAAATTACGTCAAAAATAGTTCTTGTATTATCACAAGATGAAGATATTCAGGTGGCCTGTTTTAAGCGGAACACCCTGTATATACGTGAGCGACAGCAAGGTAAACCAACGAAAATCGACGTTCAAACTCGATCAACTGGTTGCCATTTATCGTTCACGATTCGTTACATAAATAAATTAAGTGGCGTGTTAACAACGAAGATGATGGACATGGAGATGCGGATGACTCGAGTTCGAAGAGACAGAGATTTGTCTTTCTCTGACTCGCGGACGTAATGAGGTGCGAACCAATGTAACAGCGATGATGATAGCCGAGGACACGTTAAATCGCGGCGTGTGACGATTAAAATGTAGTGGATCTGGTCCCCGAGAACGATTTACGCGTCTTCGTCGCCCCATTCGAAACTCTCCTCCCCGCCGGACGTCACTTCCTCGATCTTCGATGTTTCCTCGATCGCATTGCCGCCTGTTTGGGACACGCACTGCGCTCCCTCTGGTTCCTCCACGAACGGATCGTCGACCATGTCGAGACGCTCCTCGTCTTGCGCGTTTTCTTCCTCGATCTTGTGGAAAAATATGAAATTTTTTTTATTTTTATTAAAAAATATGTTTACACCTTTTTAATGGATTTTATAGAAATATTTTAAACATAAATGAGGTTATCCTGTACGAGTATTATAAGAAGTTATGACTTCTTGGTATAATTTATAGTATATGTCCGCGGTGGGACAATAATCTTGTAACATGGACAATGCATAAGAGAGTTAATAATTTTAACCGTTTGCAATCGGAATTTCCTAAGTCCCCGTATATTTTCTCGCGTCAGAGGGGGCAATCGAGTGTAAAGGATTAAATAGAAAATGGAAATCTATTATTAGAAATTATCAGAGAAATTCATCGAGAAAAATGAGGATCGCGAGATTTCCTCCGAAATCTCACCCTCGTCTCGTCGTCCGCGATCAGCTCGTACGGTTTCTCCTCTCTCTCCTGATCGGTGATCTCGCTGGCGATCGCGTCGTCGCGCGAATGATCGAGATCTTTCACTTCGTCCGCGTCATTGAACGCGACGTTCGCCAGCCTCGCCTCCAGTTCCTCTTTCTGGCGAACCTCCTCGAGGTGTTCCTCGACGATCATCCTCTCCTGTTCCTCCAGCAACGTTGCCACTCGTGCCTCTTCCACCTGTCTGGACCATGAAGAAACAAAAAGATCGATATTGTCTTCATCGTGGCATCGACGAGGTATAGGAATAAACTTTTCGTCTTATGGGATTTGGTGGTCCATCTAAACTGTAGTACCGACACCTTGAAAAGCTTGTGAATTTAGTGACCTCTACTACAGACGAGATATAAGAATAGACCTAACATCTTATGGGACTTTGTGTCCCACGAAAATTACGCTTGTTCGAGCGCACTTCACATAAAAGTTTTCGATTCCCAGAAATGAGGGGTTCTTGGGTTGATTTGAAACAACTTTTTTCTTTGCACAAATGTTATCCGAGGCCTAGTTAACGAGATATTAACGAAAAACCTCGACCAATCAGAGCGTGAGTCTGCCGGCCGAGCTTCCGCGGTAGCCTCGGCGCTACGCGCTGCGATTGGTAGCCAACGCTACCGCGGGAACTCGGCCGGTAGACTCGTGCTCTGATTGGCCGGGGTTTTTCGTTAATATCTCGTTAACAAAGCCTCGGAGAACATTTTTGCAAAGGAAAAAGTTGTTTCTAATCTTCTTCGGAACCTCTCATTTCCAAGAGTCAAAGCTATTTCGGGACAAACGTAACGTGCCTCTACGTTATGAGAACGGTAAATCTACGGTTGGGTAGAGGCACTTAAAATGGAAATGGGGTAACGTAATCCCAGAATAATGGGCCGCAAAAATACATCGGATGAAACGTCTACTCCTCGTCTGTGATCGTGGCCACTGCGTGATCTTTGTGACAAACAGTCGTGATCTTTTCCTGGGGTAACGATCCCGCCAGGAGCAGCCGAAATTACCTTTCCGCTTCTAGCACTCTTTCGGTCTCCATTCGGTCGGCCTCCAGTTTCGCCTCCTCGGCTTGCCTCTCGTCCTCAGCTTTCTCTTGCTCGAGTATCTCATCAAGATGCTCGGCTCGTTCCTGGGCCGCCTGCAATGCTTCCCACGCCTTTAACTCTTCCATTTCGAGCTTCACCCGTTCATCCTCGGCGGCCTGTTTCCTCTCCTCGTCGGACCTGCATGGATGCAACCACGATCCAACAATCGTTTCAAAACAATTCGCGATCGATTGCGAAATTTTGGCCACTGAATCGAATTTGGTGATGTACCAGGTGGTTACATCTGGCCCGGTTCAATGTTATGGCGTTAATCGGTCCATAGATGACCGACGACGAACTATTTTCATGCATCGATCGGGGTTGTATAACAAACTAACGATTAGCATCGATCCGTGCCAATTTTGCTGCACAGTGGACTCTAACTATATTGCCACGGTCGGGGCTGTAGGGGAGTAAAATGGCAATCAGTTCAGAGCTCCCTCTATGCTAAGTTCTATCGTCATAACCTCAGCGCCTGCGCAAAAACTGGAACGTGCTGGTGCGCTACGTGGTGGGAGAGCAAATTTGTGTGGTCGAAAGTACTTGTGAAGGGGAAGTGCCGTGCGTGGCACTATGTTTAGTGGCAATATAATTAGAGTCCATATTCCGATTGCTCAATAATCGTGAATATTTTGGTTGCTTTTACAAGGGTCAACGATCAGCTAATCCATGTATCTACATACTTGGCCTCCTCGGCAGCCTTCACGAGGTATTGTTCTATTTTCTTGATCGCCTCATCCTTGTCCTGTCTCACTGAAATGAAAAATAGTTTCTTTCCGTTAACTTTTCACATCGACTCGATATCGATTCATATATTCTGATATGTGTGATCGAGAATTCTTCTGTCGTTCGTGGATTTTATAAACGAATACAATTATTGTTTTTCGTGCATCGACAGACTCGAGCAGCATTTTAGTTCGATAGTCGTACATACATGTGACAAGATGCAACGTTCCATGCAACAACAAATTAGAGAGGACAGAGTTCGTAACGTAAATTATAACCACGATAGAATCTTACGAGTCCAGTTTCCCGCCATTTTTTCTCGATTTTCAATCCGATCCGCTGATTCGATTTCCGACGTCGGTCAACATACCGTTCTGATCCGCTGCATCGTTTTCCTCTGCCCCATCCTTTTCACTTACAGCTTCTGTGACCTGACCGTCTGCGCTTGTCGTTTCAGCTGGCACATCTTCGGCTGTTTCCGGTTTCGCTTCCACCACTGGTTCCGGTTGCGCTTCGACCACTGGTTCCGGTTGCGCTTCGACCACTGGTTCCGGTTTCGCTTCTTCCACTGGTTCCGGTTTCGCTTCTTCCACTGGAGCCGGTTGTTCTTTTTCCTGAACAGGCTCTGGCGCTGGAGCAGGCGCTGGAGCAGGCTCTGGTGCTGGAGCAGGTGCAGCTGCTCTCTTGGCCTTTGGTTTCGACGGTTTTACAGGGACTGGTTCAGGTTCTTTCACAGGTTCCGGCACGGGTTCAGGTTCCTTCACAGGTTCAGGTTCAGGTTCCTTGACAGGTTCAGGTTCAGGTTCAGGTTCCTTGACAGGTTCCGCTACTAGTTCAACTACTTTGACAGGTGTAGGTTCAGGTTCGGGTTCTTTCGCAGGCTTCTGTGCAGTTTCTGTTTTTCCACACTTGGATTCGCGCTTCTTCTCCGGCTTCGAGTCCTGCTCTGTCTCTACTATAACCACTACAAGACCACGATACAATATCGACGGGACGTTCATACATAACCCAGATAGCACATAATGCCTTGAAGACGCCAATTTCACGGCTATTTTAGGCCTAAGGCGTCTTTAAGCCGTCTTCGAGACGTCGTTGGGCGTCATGTGATATCTGGAAAGGGAACTAGGAATTGTCGAACGGAGGGAACGTACCTCTTTTCACAGCTGTAACGTCCACATCGGGCTCTAGTGCTCGAGCTAGAAATTTGTCGGATTTCGTGAGAAACCGGTTAACGAAACAACGTAACAGTGACGTGGATGTATTATGAGATATTTACTGACCCTTTCGCAATTCTCTCTCTGTCATCGGCCCGTCCGTCGCTACGTACACACATGAAACATAAACGTTCGATTAACGGGTAACGGGGGATCGTCAGAAATCCGCGGGTCCAATGAAATACAGTCTCCTCTCGATTATTGTCCCGAATTCAGTTCCGCGCCTGGGCAATAATCTTGTAGGGGCAAATGCTTCGGTCTCTCGTAAATTCGTTTTTTGCCCGAACCTCGGTGGAGATAACGCTTGGACAATAATCGTGTAGAACAAGCCGGACAATAATCGAGACGAGTCTGTACTACGATTAATGGAAATGTTTTTGTGAGAAGGCACATTTCGTTAGTCTGTTACGCGCGAAGCTCGATGAAAACACGTATACACAGGCGTTAGTCACTTCATGCATACGATGGTGTGCGACGAATGAAATTAGGGTATTAGGAGATGTCGAAATTCGTACGAGAAAGTTACGACGAGACATTACGAGCTTTGGAAACGATGAGTATCGACGATCGAACCAGATCCGTTTGTTATCGTCTCTTTCCTCGATGACACACGATTGTACCAGTCCAATTTCGGTGTTCGAGTGATGATCGATTATATAAATACACACGGATATTGTATATACTTAGCGACCGCGTGTTTCCACCCGCTTCTGTTCTCTCTGCGACCAGAGTGGATTGTAGCTCCGACGTGCGTGCTATGCGGTAGCATTTTATTAGAACATAATTAGGATACATCCGTTTTGCTCGACACCCTTGTCGTCCTTTTTTGTTTTTTGTTTTTTTTTTACAACGGAAAATTCAACGGCGTTGCGATATCATTATTGGTCCTCGTAGGTTTAATGCTATCGCCGTTAACGTTTGAATTATCATCGCTTTCGTTTTAGTATGACCGACAAAACCACTCAACGTCACTTCGTGAAGTAGATAAGATCAACCGACCTTATTGCTAAGTATTATGGAGCACGTACAATGGATGCTTACCTCGCATCGACGCGTTTTCGATCGCTAGACCACTTCCGGTATAACTTTGCCATATTTCATGCAAGGAAAATAATTGACTGGACAATTAAATAATCGATGGTGTGCCGTTTCCAATTCGGAAGTACGTCTATTTTATTTCGTATTATCATATTTTATTCCTTTTGTCGTAGACTCGAACAGATTTCAAACGATAATAAACGTGAAAACACGAACTTTTCCGTTCACCGTCTATATACGGTTTCATTCGAATTTCCATTTTTACGAATTTCGCCACGAGAACTGTTACGAACGCGGTTTTTTTTGTTATCTTTTTGTCTGCGCAGCAACGTTCTCGGACGGAACCGAAAGAGTTTTTTTTTATAGATTTATACAGGGTGTAACAAAAATGTTGGATGACCCGGAAATGGGAGACCCGTGAGGTGATTTGAAACAACTTTTTCCTTAGCAAAAATGTTATCCGAGGCTTTGTTAACGAGATATTAACGAAAAACCCCGACCAATCAGGTCTATTGGCTACGCGCTGCGATTGGTAGTCAGCGTTACCGCGGGAACTCGGCCATCAGATTCTCGCTCTGATTGGTCGGGGGTTTTTCGTTAATATCTCGTTAACAAAGCCTCGGATAACATTTTTGCTAAGGAAAAAGTTGTTTCAAATCACCTCACAAATCGTCCAACATTTTTGTTACACCCTGTAGAACGTCAAATAACATTTCGGACGCAACGATCGATGCGCAGAGAATACCACGACGTTGGATTGTTTTTTTTTGATAGATTTACAAGTAAAATGGTATGTTTAACGCGACGATAGTCACTCCTCGGCCGGTTCCTCGTTCTCCTCCGTCTCCTCTTTCGGTTTTGTCGGACCCTCGTACAGTTCTGGAACACGATCTCTCCATCCCCTGCCTGAAACGTTCAAAAAAAGCCGGACTGGTTCTTCTTGCGATTGTTTACCAGGTGTGTACGTGTCTCGCCCCCAGTGCGTCCGATTCCGCCCGATACCACTGGAGTCCGCCATTTGTGTAAAATCCTGCTCTCTGTTTTTTCCCCGTCCTTTTTTTTCTGTTCTTTTTTTTTTTTTACAGTGTCACGCTGTTTTTTTTCCTGTCGATCCGCTCTCTTCTCTCTGAACGCGCCAAAAAACGAGCGCACGCGAACACAGAAACGTGTACGCGCGATTAGAGAAAAAAAGCAACCGAAAGTCGAGTGGGGGGGGAAAAAAATTCGATGCCTCACACACCTTCGTCACTATACACTAAATATATATATATATATATGTATGTATATTCAAGTAGTCACAATTACGCAAAACAACGATACTACGAACAAAATACAAGGAAAAAACCCAAATAAAGAGGATATACTGTTGTGACGAGAAACGAGGAAAAAAACCAAAGAAAATACAAGAGCCAGAGCACAGCACAACCAAAAAAGGAAAAAAAATGAAAAAAAAAAAAGAAAACTTGTCAGACAGCGCGAATCAGTGGCACGCATTCCAAAAAAATGTAGAGGAAGGAAAAAGATTGTAGAGAGACGAGCGGGAAAGATTGAGAGAAGACAAAAAAAATACGAACAAAAAGGTGCACACAACGGCGTCCTATGGCCGCTTTTATTTTTCCAATATTCATTTCGAAATCACTGTATGCATGTATGTATATGTTCGTTTTTGTAACGTCGCCAAGGAGGAGTTAACGCCGAATTGATCGAAGGTTTTGGTATCTTTGCAATTAGCAAGCTGACGACTATTCGTAGTTTTATCCCTCCTCGCGATCGTTCGTTCCTATTCTGTGCCTCTAACTACGTGTTTCGTGTATACCGATTCCGTCGATTATATTTTAAGAAAACAAAAAAAGAAAGATAAGTGAAAATCGTGTTCGTACGTATCGTCCGTTCGTCGATGACTCGTGATCGACATGCAGGGCCGGATTAAGATTTTTAGACGCCCTAAGCACTTAAAAGATTATGGTGCCCCCATAAAATGACTGTCAAAACCTTACGACCAAACTGTAATCCCATCGTACCTTTATCACAAGCTTTGTCAGATTATTATTTTTATGCAAGAAATCTTTTAATAACCAAATCTGAAGAAACAACATGTCCTCGATATGGGTATACTAAGAATGTATTCGTATTATATATTTTTAGAAAGATACAGTAAATCCTGGATAAGTGTTCGAAGGCTCCTCGGCACTGAACATTAAATATTTCATAAACTAATGGTCATAAGCGACTGAAACATCTATCACTGTGCCAAACCTCATCGAGGTTTTACTGTGTGTTGAAACTGGTCCATGGTAAATCTGACAATGGAAAATTTCTATGGTGCCCCCCTTCCCTTGATGCCCAAAGCACGTTTTTATATTGCTTAATCCAACCCTGTCGACAAGAGAAGACAGAAAAATGTGAGGTTAGGTCGCGATAGTGACGTCGTCTGCCGGCGTTTGTCTGCGTTCCGTATACCCGATTGTCGTCGTTTGTTTGGTTGTTCGTTGGTGTGGTCGGTTTGCGTGACAGCACTACTTACAGGCGCTGGCAGCCGCCTGACGGTTCTTTTTGTAGTAACTCAGAAAATTCACGTCGTTCTTGATGTCGGACGGGCGTAGATCGGCGACTTTGAAGTACGGCCTCCTGACCGACTGCGGGTTCCCGGCCACGTACTTTATGCACGCCAGCGTGCCGAAGTTACCTCTTTCCGGTACCTCGTACCAGGAAACCGGCTCCGGGTCTTTCTTCGCGTTCTGCTTGCCGGACAACAAACGACGCACGTAATCTCCGCATCGCATACGTTCCGGTATGATCTCCTCCAGAAAGTCGCTGGAAAATACGAAACTCACCGTTACGTCGACGCTCCTTGTCCCGATGGGTAACATAACCCCAAATAGCACAAGAACGTCGTATGTACGTCCGGAGAACGTTCTGGACGTTCGGTACATTCGGAGGATGTCCCGAAAAGATGCACATGTCCCCTCTACGTCCTTGTTAAGATCTTTAAATGTCCTAGGAAGATGCTACAGACTACTTTCGATTATTGTCTAAGAGTTATCCCCACTACTGGGGGGGGGGGTGGAATGTGTTAAGCTTGTTGTCATTCTTTGTTGCCGAAGCTCAGGCTTCGGACAAAAAACGAATTTACGAGGGTCTGAAGCATTTCTTCCTGTAAGATTATTGTCGCGACGCGGACCGGAGTTCGGGACAATAATCGAGAGGAGTCTGTATTTACAAACTGGTACCTCCTGCTCATGGGGATCTTTCATCTTGCACGGATGAAATTGAGTCAAAATTATTAAACAATTAATTTCAATTCTACCAACATTTGTAAGACTTAAGTTAAGAAACGGACATTTCTAGGACATGTGAAATTTAAATCTTGATAACATCCGTAGGATTTTTGGGGTGGACGTTTCTAGAACATTGGAAATTACAAGTTTTGTGAACATCTTAGGGACGTTCAAAATTGGACGTAGGACATTCGGACTATAAACCGAACATGAAACGGACGTTCTTTGGATGTACTGTGCTATCTGGGAACTCTCTGTTTGTTAAATCGCGGTTCGATACGATCTATCGATACTCGGATGAAACCGCTTTCTATCAAGCGTACGATAATCGTACGAAGAAGGAAGATGAAATACCTTGCAACAGCTCGAGGAACGTATACGTGTACCCGTCGCAGAAGAGAATCCACTTTCGCGCGTATTTCCCTCGCCTCGTCGTCGAAGTACTGCGAAGAAACACACGTGAAACATGTATTCGTCTGGACACGTAGGTAATGGATATAATCGTGCGAGAGAAATTAGTTGTTCTCGGTTACTCGATTAGTTCTCAGTGCGAACCTAGGGCCTCGAATGATCGAAATTAACAGTCGAATTATTAGGCGCGAGATATGGCGAATGGGGACACTCGGTAATATTCGAGTGCCCGGATTCAGTTTCGATTTCGAATCGGTATTGTTATTATTATTATTCTCATCGTTGTAGTCGTTGATTTAAGTAGTAGACGACGCGATTCCGCTGACTGAACAAGTGGACCAGCTGAAATGAGACGAACAGATGCAACGACGATGATGACGATGATGATGGTGATGATGATGACGGATGTTGCGACGCGTCGATGACACAACGGATGATCATTCTCGATGACAGAACGGATGATGATTCTCGATGACACTTGGTGTTAATGGGCGACGGAGTTATTATAAAGGCGTGTATCGGTATGATATCCGTTCGACGGGACGTGTTGTGCAGACTTACGATGCGATCCCTGGATTGGAGATACTTCTCCAGGTAGGACTCGGTCGAGGGCCTGGTCAGGTTCCGTATCCTGTTGATCTCCGCGGCGAGTACGCTGGGACGTACCCGTGCGTGTACTCTTATCGGTAACAGGCTGCCGCCGTGGTACACGGTATGGTACGGCATGTGGATTACAGTCACGAGCCTTTTGTGCGCCACGTATGGCATGTGAGGGATGCCCCTCAACTACACAGGCACGGGATACACTATGCTTTACTATTTTCACGTCGTAGCATCGCCGATTATCGGGTCGTTACGTTCCCAGCCGGCGAGTCAGCGACAAAAAGCGTGCAGTTCAGCGTGTGCTCCATCGAAGCTTGCGACATAGGCGGTGCCAGGCGTCTGATCCACTCTGATTAGCGGCATCATGGGTTTGGCGCGAATGATTAAAGCGTTCGAACGATCGTTAGCAATGGATTTTTCGTTGATTTATCGGTGATCTCCATGAGTAAGGAAGAGGTGGGGACGTTCGAACGATGAATTAATCGAGGAGGGATGCTCGATGAAGCTGTATTGCGATTGATTAGCGTGAAGCAAGACGGTCACTAGGCTCGTTTGATGGGGGTAGGAATCAGCTGAAAAGCGTCGTTTCGGTTTTGCGTTTAATCGTGCTAAGAAGAAGCAAGCAATCGACAGAAAGCGGTAGGAACTAGGCCAGATAAAAAGCGTCCATGGTCTATGCTAGGTTGTCGCGGGAATCGGAGAGGCGGAGCAACGCATGCCTATCAGATTCCACGATCGCAACTTGTTGCGCCTCGCGTTTAGCAGTCTGCGGGGAAATTAGCGATGGGTGATATTTTCTATTGAAATATCGATATTTTGTGTCGATATATAATTCTTAACCTATAAATATCGATATTTCGATACAATCTTTACATTTGCAGTAACGCAAGGAAAACTGGACAAATCGCAAGCTCACCATAAAGTTTGCGATCGGTCGATTTTTTTTAAAAGTCCGCTAGTAAATATCCGCTTAAACAAATTATTTCTTTTCATTTGTGGATTTTATTACTTCCAATTTCATTGCAAGTATCGATACCGATAATATCGATATTTTATTCCCGATATACATGTGGTATCAATAAGTATCGATACCAAATATCGATACAATTCAAATGTAGCGTATTCGCTAAGGGGAATGCTAGGCGGTTCGCGAATGGACGATTTTACTACAAACAAGCACACCCTTGGATCACTTACCTGGAGGACAGTGGAGAGCGGTAAAGCGATCGGTCGATCCTATTGGTCCCGTTTCGGTTGGTATTTACAGGGGGACAGGTCGTAATTTTGTTTTGGTTGCGTTTTCGTATAATCGATATTCGACGACGATATTTGGACGTGTGATTTTTCGTGGCGTCGACGAGTCGGGCGGCCATTGGTGGTGGTGGTGGTTGTGGCGGCAGACCGTCAGGGTACGAAGGAGTCACATGGTAAATAGAATAAAATAGAAAGAAGAAGAATAACACCCGGTTAGTATGTTTTTTTTTTTTTTTTTTTTGAATAACTGAAAAGCCTAACACCTGTTTTATTTCCTTCTTTATTATCCTTTTTTTTTTTTTTTCATTATTAATGTTTTGTCGAAGCGTTTCTGTCGTATCGTTAATTAGCGATCGTTCGATCGCGATTCGACACACCAATAGTATATCTATATATACTCGTACTCGATGTTTTCGTGACAATGAACGACCGCCGGGGAGAAAGAGAGGGAGGCGGACACAGAGAAGAAAAAGTATCTGTGGTGTGTACCTTCGTCGAACGATACGCGGCGAACCGACTCGAGACTCGAATTTTCCGTGTTCTCCCGCGAGCATACAAACTGATTTTGGCCAATTGTCGCGTTGTGTGTCTAACCAGATGACGGAGAGTGGGTTAGTCAACGGGTTAGTGATTGGTACACAATACATTCCTATCGACGAAGGATTAGCTGCGCGAGATCTCTAGCCTTCTATTAGTCAGCTAGAAGATTGCCAGATGCTTCTCTGTCGCGAAAGATTTGCCGCATTTTTTTTTCTTTTTTTTTTTAACGCCGATTTTTTTACGTGTACGTTCAATCGTAAAACTCGATCGTCACGCGGTTCCCGGGTATAATTCACACCGACGCACACTCAAACGCTCTGGACAAAACGGCAACTATGATCGCGAATACAATAGGTTCGGTTTGTTACTGCAGAAAAAACACTCCCACGCATACAATCCATAAACTGGAGAGAAAAAAAAAACAGATAAATTACGAGACTAAACAAGTCCTACGTTTGGTATAATCGAAACAGATAATTTCAGAATTTTCGAAACGATACAAGTATAAAATGCGCAAAATTCAGAATTTTCTCGTTTATCGCTACTGACATGTCTGCGGCGGCATATGTCTATTCTAAGTAGTATCGTGGCAGATAAGCATTAATAAACGCACTCGGAAGTCCGGCAGAGCGACGCCTAACAACACGGATTAGCTCGACTAGGCTTCAAGACGTCTAAATTGTCGCTACATGGATATAACATACTCGTTGCAACACGTATTAGAAGCTAACAATACAATACAGAGAGAGGCAATATTCGTGTATCAAATGACAAAAACCTGAGCCGCGTTCCTGTCTGCTATACAACGAACATAGTCGACGAAAAAAAGAAGTTCGATCGAGAATCGAAAAAACATTGAAATGCCTGGTGGGGGGTCTTGGTAATCGACGATAAAGGAGTATTGGCAGACAGGAAGTGTGTACATTTCGCCGAAATCGATGTCCAAAGAAAAGAATACCGACAATTTTCCGGACTCTCAAGAAGGTATATTACGTGTACCAATAAGTAATCCACTGATAACACTGTTTTCTCAGAATGACGGCGAACATAAAATAATAAGGACCAATATCACTGAAACAACATATATATAGCTTTGTAATGTTCTTGAAAATAAATATTGAATTGGAAAAAATACAGTGGATTATTTATTGGTAGTGCTATAGCAGTTCGATTGCGTCAGTCGTATCAGTTCCGTGTTGCGTCCGTGTCAGTTCGGGGGCACAGAGATCGGCGAAACGAACGTGTATCCAGGGGGCCACGCCACGGAGTAGACGGTCGATGTCCTGGACGACCTCTCGGTCGAGTACGCTCCGTACGGTCCGCTCTCCCTCTTGACGACGTTCTCTTCGGTGAAACTAGTCCTCTGCGGTCGACGGCTGTACGGATCCGTGGCGGAGGAGGAGCTCGACGAGCTGGTGTTGGTGTAGGCATAGCTGTACTGCTCTTGGGCAGCCCTCACCCCGACTTCCGGATAGTCACGGACGACGTAGTGCCGAGGCGTCTATAGATTCGGGTTACACAAGGTCAACAATCTGGAGATCAGGCTTTTAACGGAGAACAGAATGGCCGACGGCGATCGATTTGGCACGATCGAGTCTTTTTTTTTTTTTGTTTTGTTTTTATGGTCTCTGACCACCGAACGAATTCCATCGCGAAATGTGCGTACAATGGAGATTCAGAGATGTAAGGAAAATAAAAGAAGCACCACATCCGGAAACGATTCTCGACTCGATTCTGTTCTCCTTTAACGGAACAACGTGTGTGTGCTGGAGGAGTGGGGACATCGTGTGTCACGGAACAATGGAAAACGGGGAAGAAGATGATGAATTCACGGCACACGCGAAACGATGCCTCCGGCTGGATCGGTTCTTGGTGTTTTTCTAATCGGTCTGAGGCGGCACGACGATCGGAAAGTAACGATGCTCTCGTTCGAGACCGATTTATTCCAGACTCTCTCTCGTTTTGTCGGGTGGTGTGTACAACGGACGGTTCGGACCAGTGTCGGATTAAGGGGGGGCCTAGGGGGGGGGGGGTATAGCCCCGGGCCCCATTTTCCAGAGGGGCCTCGATCTAAGCCTTCCATTTATCAAACGCAATTAATGAAATTTTCTAGAAACAAATCTGATCAAAGTTTTTATAATATAACGAAGCATCGTTCGTTATGACTAACTGTTCTTTAATTTTATTCAGAACAAATTGCAATTTTTGAAAGTTTATGTATTTTATTAAAAAATCTTAATCCGGGCCTGGTACGAAGAGTCGACGGGGAATCGTGTGTCCGACAAAGTGGGATGAGAAATTGTTAAGTTACAATTGTTGAAAGAGAGATATACACAGAGTGATTAACTTGTGTTATTATACATCGATGGTGGTGGGTGGTGGTTGGAGGCGGACAGAAAAAAGAAAAGAGTGTAACTGAGTCGAGAAGACGGTGTTTCGCGGTGATACGCGAGATCTATCTGTAGACACACAACGTGCGGGCCAATTATAAACGTGGAACGGTACACGTATGCATTAATAATGTCTCCTTGTCGAGAGATATTCAGGACACACGGAGCGCAACCGTTGAGCAACTGAGCACAGACGGCCCTTGCCAAGAAACACATGGATATATCGCGTTGCGCGATCTGCGCGTACCGTTGTATTAATGTCCTTTGCTCGTGTGTGGGGTACGGGTGCATCTCGGTGTCTCGTGGTTGTTTTTCAATTTTTTTTTTTTTTTGTGTTCGAAAGCTTTATACCTCGAGCATTCGTTCGAGTCGTAGCACCGACACCGATGTGTATTCGCAAACTCTCCGTCCTTCAGTTATCCGCAGAGCTTCTCGGCTACCAACGACGTTACAGAGCACAACAATACATATACCTGCGACCGATTTTCTTTCGTCTGTGCAGAGAGGGAAGGAGAGAGAACGAGATGATTGCTTGATCGCTCGATTATTATAGCAACCGATCGTGCTGTATACAGACTCTTCTCGATTATCGTCTGGCTTGTTCTACACGATTATTGTCCAGGTGTTATTAACCACCACTCGGGGGAGGGGCGTGGAACCTGTTAAGCGCATACTTTGTTGCCGAGGTTCGGGCTTCGGGCAAAAAACGAATTTACGAGGGTCTGAAGCATTTCTCCCTATAAGATTATTGTCCCAGCGCGGAATCGTGTTCGGGACGATAATCGAGAGGGGTCTGTACAACGCACCCTAAGCGTGTTTGCGCGCTGTAAGAACGGGTATTAGTAAACACGTTTGGAAAATCGAATGAATACTTTATTATTGTCCGAGGCTGCGTGTACAGAGATAATTCAACACAAAAAAAAACGAACCAAAACGGTGTATCGGTTCAAGGCGTTTCTAGTTAACATACGTACACTGACGTACAAACTCAGCTTCCTCTAGGAGAAAAAGCAATGTAAGGGCTTCCTACCGCTCGATAAATTTATTTCAAATATACTGAAACAAATGTTAAACTGAACGTTAATTTAACATAAATTTCAGTAACTCTGAGACCAAGTGGTAGAAGGCCTACCATCACGTTTTCCCCTAGCGTAAGCCGAGTTTGCTCGCGAGGGTACATGGGAAGAATATGTGTGGTCGGTAAAGAAGAACACGCACATTGGACACGACGGGGGGAGGAAGAGCCTCGACGTAAAAAAAAGCCTGACTGTTACAAGATCAGAGAAGGGCATCGATTAACGGAATTTCGTTTTTAACCGTGAGGATCGAAGCACGTTTTCGTTGGAACGATTACGAAAGATACGAAAAAAATGTCTTTTCGGAATCATGGATCTCTAAGCGTATCATGTCGAAGAATTGTATTTTCGAGCTTTTCTGTTGTCGTTCGGGGACCACCTTTAAAATCTGTACCAGGAGGGTGTTTGAAGGGCCATCAGTATCTTGGTACGGCCGCTGGCAGGTGTGATTGCGTGTCTCGACGCTCCCGGTTGCCTGGATAGCACACCTTTCTCGAAGACTCGACCTTTGGTTGCCAGCTCGGTCGCGGCATCCAGGCTGACCTTCGACACTGCGCCACCTTCCACCAGCTGTCGTTTGTGCTCCTCTTTCGCGGCGTTCTTTCCCCGTACAACGCCCTCCTTATCCTTCAAGGTGACGTACTGATAAAATTCCTTCTTCGGATCTTGCTTCTTACGACCCCAAACGGTGAACGGTTCCGGTACCAGCGACGGCCGTGGAACGAACGGTACCTTCTCCCACGGAAAGTAGTCCTGCTTCTGTAAATTTCATCCCGTTTCGAACGCTTTTACACGCCGCCCCCTTTTTTCCTCTCTAGATCTCGCTTCCTCTCTCTCTCTCTCTCTCTCTTTCGCGCGCATTCGTCTTTGCTGTGTTTTTATTTTCGCCCCACGATCGAGGAATAGCAAAAAACACCGTCCCTTTCGACGTCTTCGACTTCCACACTGATCGTCCTACCGTTATTATCGTTTTTTTTTGTGACGCTATCGTGCGCGAATTAATCCGTTTAGGGTTACAGAAGGACGTTGAATGTAGCGCTTCCCGTGGAAACCCGTAAGGAAAGCCTGGATATATATATATATATATATATGTACACATTCCTTCTCCTTGACTTGCCTCGAACGAAATTTTAGTGTATATTCCCGCGCAAAAATAGCCCCCGTACGGTTGGTAAGTGGTGCCCTCTCGTTCACCGCCTTTGTACGTCCGTTGATGGAACGATTTCCGGCCATAACCCCCTTCTCTGTATGCGATCTCGACAAAAATATCATTTTTGTTTTTTTTCTTTCTCGGACAATTTCGTGCACGTGAATCATTCGCCCAGGGAATTGCGTTCGGTTTTAGCCTTCTTTCGTGTGATTCATTGATTTTCTTTAGTCAGCATTCGATAAACGTTTACACCAGGTCTTACGTAGGTCCGTTCGAACGGCGAGCAATCATTCGAAAAATATCGTGACGAGACATCCGGCTGTTTAGCGATCCCCTTCGTGTAGGTTGGATCTCGTAGCAGCCGCCACAGCCAAACCTTTCAACGGTATGTCGAGATCTAATTATAACTCAAGAATCGAGAACTCTCTCCCCCCCCCTCCACCCACCCTATCCCCCCTCTCTCGTTCTCCCTTTCTCTCGTTCGTCGGATGAGCGATATTTAATAAAGACAGTTCGAATTACACACATCCGTTGACCGCGGGCTATTTCGAACGGAAATCGGGCCACGTAGCCAGAATTTTTTAGTCGAGCAAAATTGAAAAGAAAACGAAACAAGTAAAGAAGCGTGCGCTTTGACAAGTGGAAGTGAATCAAAAAGGTGCGTTAGGGTGCAATATGGCGGCCACCGGACATCCATACGTATGAATTCTTCGTGACGAATATATATTTCAGCTCTGTTGGGTTTAGTGGTGGGGAGTCGAACGTCGCTGGTAAAGTCGCGGCGAGAGCCTAAATTAGGACAGAGTAACGCAACACCGGCTCCTCGGATGCCCCTCTACCCGAGAAACGAAGAAAGACGGGGGAAACATCTTTAATAACACACACACACACACCCGTTGTTGTTTGTCCCCGTCCGTCGTGTATGTACCACGCACAGCATTATACCCCGAATGACACACGAGGGGAAGAGGTTATGCACGTTGGTCGTTTCATTGGCATGTCGATTCAACAACCTCCGGTTCATTGGGGAATAGCCGTGGTTCGGGACAACACACGGAGCAGACACACACACACCTTCGACGGACAATCTTCCGAGCATACTTAGAATCACTGACCAGGGGGTTAGGTATTCGGGTCAGCTCTTTAGCGAACGTCATTGATCCACGATCGACGGGAGAGAAAAAGGGCGCGGACACTATTCGAAGAGCTGATAACAACAAACGTTTTTCGATTCGAATGAAACGCGGGAAAATGGATGAAAATATTGTTTTGATATTAATCAAATTTTTTTCCGGTAGAAAGGAAGAATTCAAAAATAAAATCCCGTTATTCTGTAACTGAGGATATTTCGGGTTGCGCTAAAAGGGTTGTACGGTTTTGTCGCTCGAAGATTAGTCTCCGTGAAAAATATCCTTCTCGAAATTCATTCGATTATAAAATCGCCTTGCAAACGTCGTCTCGACGAAATACATTTTCCACGATTCGCCGGGTCGCGTAACGCGGCATTCTAAGTATAACGCGACCAAAGTCCCGGAAAATGGCTGCAACGCTATGAATAGTCTTTCATCCGACTGCTTTGCTCTCGTGTCCACTATTTATACACCGCGATTTTCAAGTTTTGCGTTCCGACGAACTGAAACAGGCATGTAACTTAAGAGCCACGGATTTCCGAACGCTCGTGAATCGGCGCGTGTCGCTACACGTCGATTTCACGCAAGTGGAAATCTCAAGCGTTGAACCGTAGGGATGGACAGGAGGGGGGCAAATATATATATATATATATATATCGAACTACAACAAAAAATGACATTTAAAAACGTAAAAACGACAAAAAAGAAACCGATGTACATACACAGCTGCCAATGGCCGTGTTACATTTTAGGGCATATACAAAGAGAGAAAAAAAAAGAAACCAAGGTTGAACAGACGGGCACAGTGGGGTGCGCTCTGTACAACTGAATGTAGTCGTATACAAACAAGGGTGCTCCTTGTAGTCCGTTCAGTTCGACGGATAACTGCGTGTGTGTGTCAGAGCTTGGTGTCCACGTAAGGTGCAAAACTGAATCCGTAAACGGGAGGTTGTCACATACGTACAAATCCGTGTGAAATTGTTAATTCGGGTACATTAACCGAAATACAAAGTATATATGTTGGTAGCGAGAGATTGTTGACGACGAATCGCGCCCGTTTTTCATTGTATTCGTGGTTTGATTTTTCGAACGCCCAAACAATATTGGACTTTCAGGAGACACCGAGTGCACAATTTCGAGGTCGGTGGGGTGGAATGGGTGGGGAAATTGCGGTGACGGTAAGTGAAGACAAAAACAAAAAAAAACAAAAAAAAAACGGTAACAGTGTTGAGAGACGACAACGGTGTGGTAGAGTATTACGCACATACTGTAATAGTTGTTAACTATTACACAGAGTGGTCGGAAATTACAGTGTGGAAGTAGAGACTTCGAGATGCATCGAACTCGATCCGCCGACAGTGACAAACGGGGTTCTCTCGCCTTGGATCAGCCGCGTGCGTAACCTGTCGCGTTCGGATCGACTCGGCGAACGGAACGGGGATGATCGAGGCGTGTGTTTGTCAATGTTCCCGATCATATGGGGGAGGGGAGTAGGAACCAACGTTTCGTTGTTCGACGAGTTTTCGAACGGAGTATCGTTGAGAAAAACGGTCTTAACCCTTAACTACTGCGATGAAATTCAAATACGTTGACCCTAATTTATTTTCTAAAGTGTAATTAGTCCATCGCGTGTAATTGGAAAATTATAAGGGTTCACCCAACAAAAAGACTACTGAGACACTTCGCGTCATCTGTTACTTCCGATGGTAATTATAACAATTTTTATACTGTTACGGTTACTCTAGGACCATACCCATATAGCAGTCAAGGGTTAAGGAAATTCGTCTCGCAGAGAACGAAACGTTGATTCCGGTCCGGTTCGGTTAAAGAGGTGTGTTTTCATTATTCTTATTTTTACTTCCGTGTCACACGGGTCTCTTACTCGACGTTAGTTCCATCCAGCAAAAACGTTATTAAAGACATTACTTCATCCCGCCTGCGCTCGGCAACTCCTTGAATACTGACCGTGACGCTGTAGGACGAAACGTAGGGCCGCGTATAGGGCCGTCGGGTCGTGTAGAAGTCGCTCTCGTAAACCATATTTTCTGCTCCCTTCGGTCTTCTCGGTTAAAAAGTTCGCTCGTTCGTCGGTGCGCTGCAACGCGTCTGTGTATGTTACTTACTCCCGTTTCACGAGAGTGTTCGAACCGGACAGTAGGAAACGTGCGCACCAGGGATAAAAAGATCCGCAACTGCGGCCGCGATGAAGGTTCGTACGGTTCTGCTCGGTTCCCCCCGAAACTCTTCTTCGGCTTCTACCACCGCCGGTTCCTCTCACCCCACCTAGGTGGTCCTTCTTCGTCTCTGTCTCTTTCGCCACGAGTGGCCCACAACAGGGAATGTGTGTGTGTGCGTGTGTACTTGTGTTTTCATTTGTGTCGCCACATTCTCCCCCGCGCTGTGTGGCGGATACCTTGCCGCATCATCGTCGATCCGATTGCGTCACATTCGACGCACGGAGCTGATGCATCGAAAGAAATAGAAACGTGTTAAGGTTGCGGCCACCCTCTTCCCATCGTCTTCCCACGATCCTCACCCACCCACCCACCCTTCTCTTCCTTGTTTTCGACGGACCATTACGGGCTGGTCGCAACCGGGAGCCTGCAACTTGTGTCACCAGACGTTCCTGAAGTGTTGAGCCCAATGTGGATTCGAAGACCTTCTATGCTTGGACGTACATTAATTATTACTTTCGGAGGAATTTCGCTCTGTTATTTTGTCGAAACAGCAGGTGCGTCGTGTCAACGGTTGGAACAACGATGTCAAGGTGCTGGAAGAAATGATCGAGGACGTGTACTTGAAAGAACCATCATCCACGGATCTCCGATTGGTCTTTATTTTTGCAACCGTTGCCCCGATTACCGTGACCCTCGAAACGGAGTTTCGAGCATTTTCGACAATTGCGATGAAGAATTTCATTACCGTTGAGATTTTAAAAACACACACCCCTTATGTCCTTCGTATTAAATTGAGGAAATGACACAGTCAATGTCAACATTGTCTAATAGTAACAATAGACTGAATCCTCTCGCTCTGTTATATTCTACGTCGAACGTTACACTGGCAATTCTCCAGGCGTTGAGTTCCTCGATTAGATCCAATTCTACTTTCATTGTTGCAAAAACGTTAACCATTCGTGTGTTTGTATTTACGTAGGACGACATGCTTCTCTGCAATCCACTGGCATTTCGGGTATTAGTAGAAATTGATGAAATGCCAAAGGAAAAATTACTTCAAAGTGTGTACAGTGTTCCTCGAAATAATGTTTGCATCGTTGATTCGGGAATGGACAATGTTCGTTCTTGTGCTGTCGCGAAAGTACGGAAATAATTGAATTTCAATATCCGTCGCGATATCAAGCGCGTCGCTTGACAAAAAGCATTTTCTACATTCTAGGGGAGAGTGACAATAACAGGAACAGATATTTTTGTACTGTGCCAAGACGACGAAGGCTATAAATCTTATTAGAAACGGGTCGGAATCTATTCACGTCGTTCGAAGATTTAATAAGGAACGACGGGGGCTATTAGAAATACATTTGTCCTGTAATATATTGGTTCCCGTGCAATTCACACGGGTGATGCATATGCAAGAGGAATTTAAGACCACTTAGTATGATCAAAGGATCAGATAATTAACAAAGAATCACAAAGTAAATACATATATTGTTTTAGTTAAATTATTCCTAATAATTTAACTTAAAATTACAAATTTAAATACAAATGTGTATATACATATGGAGGGTTCAGAAGTTAATCAGTGTAAGTCAGTTTTCCATTAAAAATGACTTATGCTGTGTAAATACACTTTCATTGTTTACTTTATATGCAACCAGTTTCACATGTATGTATCCCAGATAGCACGTGACGCCTTGAAGACGACTTAAATGCGCCTTACACCTAAAATAGCCGTAAAATGGGCGTCTTCAAGACGTTATGTGCTATCTGAGTATCAATCCTTACTTTGTTCTCGTTATCAGTTGAAAAAAAAACAAAGAAGGTATCAGTTGTATCAGAAGTCGTTATGTCCGTACGATATAAAAATGATAAATATCAATGAATAATAATATTTAACAAACATTGACTTTTAAACCGTTTACATATCGTCTGCGATACGAGTTTGTCGGACCAGATCGAAAAAAGCTTAACCGGCTGTGGGTAACGCAGAAGCAGCTTCGTACGGTTCGAGCTGTCATCGTCGTTAGTGTACGAAAATTACGGGTATGGTATACCGCTTCTCTGTAAGTTGACTTTAGTCGTTCACGCATCGAAGGAAAGTTTCACGATCGAAAAAGTCGTATAAGTATTTGTGCACGAGACAACTGTTCCGTGTCCACGAGAGCCAGGAGAATCATTCGACATTGATCAGCGTCGCACGTTCGGAAACAGTCAAAGAGTACACATGTCGTGAATTACAGCTGTCATTCCGGAAGAGTAAACAGAACGAGTTTTCGTCCTCCGACTCGGACACACGCGTGTTTAAAATGTCCGTAACCGAGGAAAGAATTCAAGAACTGAATAAACGATTTCTCGAGTTCGTGAGCAAAAGTGAAAATGTTGAATCGGCTACGAAAGAAATTTACGAAGATTTACTCGACGAGGTCTTGATGGGTTTTGTTTTCGATGTACATCGAACTACGAAAACGGGTAGTTCCGATGTCGAGGAGGGTATACCCGATGACGAATCGTATGCCATTATAGGTGAGCGGTGCAGAGACAAATCATTCTTGAAAATTGTCCATCGACAGGACACCGTCACTCAGGTTATGTTCGTTTATTATAGATTCCCCAGGATTGGACGTGTTCGGACAGCACCCTGTCAAGAAATCTCAAGAATGCAATTGCCCGAATTGCGATCGGGGAGTGGCAGCTTGTCGTTTTGCAACGCATTTAGAAAAATGCATGGGCATGGGACGAAACAGTTCGCGAATCGCGTCGAGGCGTATAGCGAATAACTCGAAGGATCTCAGCAACTTCGGCGGTGTAATAAGCGACGACGACGACGACGTCGATTGGAGTTTAAATAATGATAAACGTAAACGTAGAAAAGATCGTAATGGTATCAAGAGAACAAAACAACAGAAGAATAATCAGAGAAACGGGGACAGCATGAACGAACATATTCATAGCAGCAATGAAAATTCTCCATCAAACTATGAGAACATGTCCTTGGAGGATAAGAGAATTTTGTTAACACAAATTTGTGGTGTAATATCGGAACACACTAAGAAATTGTGCACAAGATCTATGCGTTGTCCACAGCACACAGAAGATCAAAGAAAAGAGATGAGGGCAAATTTAGAATCTGGTATTAATACACAAACTGCTCAAGATAATCTTCATGTAGATGTAGACACCTATGAAGAGGGTGACGGACAGAATTTAAGGGAAGCTTTGGCTCGTTGGGATCGGGAAGGCTCGAGTCATTCAAGCCCAGCAGATTCTACGTCTACTACATCAACTTCATCTATCAGTAGAAAACGAGAAACAAAGACAAAAGGCAAGGGCAAAGGATCCAAGCGTGACCGTGGTTCCCCTATTTCTCAAGGCGATTGAAATATTGTATCTAATTTATTTTCTAGGTGTATAAACTGTCTGACAGAAAAAGTTGTGTAATGTTAATGTTCCTATGCTTGTACAAAGCTTCAAAAATACATTGTTCAACACAAATTGTAGCTGTAACAGTAATGTTTCTTCTGATTTGATTTTTCATTCTTGTGCAATAAACGGCATTCACCGTTTAGCTTTGCAACATATTTAATTTTCGCAATTCTTCTCTAACAATTTGCAATTGTAACCATTTAAATGCATTTAACAAGATTTGTATGAATTCCGCCATCTAGTAGTGGAAGAGAGAAACTAATTGTCCAGTAGTTTAATTGTTTCATCATAGATAACGCCACAGACTATTTTCAATTATATATTAAGAATGCATTGATAGTGTCATCTGGCGATAAAAAGCATGTATCACTTGGGTAATAGTTTCGTTGCTTTGCCGTAGATTACACTACTACGTAATTTTGTTTTGACAGCGTCTATTCTTGACGCGAATGAACAATATTGTATTGCAAGTTGCAACCAAAGATTGAGACGTCTTCGGTGTTTTTGATATTTTGCGTGAAATAAAATTGTGCGGTATAAAAATGATAAACGTACAAATAAGTACTGTGTCTGGCGTTAAACAGATCCTTACCGTTGATACATCGTTTAAAATTTACGAATTGCGTACTCGTATCGAAGATTTAACAGTAAGTACTAAAATTATTCTACTTAACCTTAAATCGTTTCATTTGCTAGAGGAAATTACATTAAATTATTTCCACCGTAGAATTTTTCGCGGGAGGACTTTTACATCGTACACAATGGAAAACTTGTGGATGAAGATACTATTTGTTACAATGGGTACCTTTCCGTCGTTCCACGGGTGTTTGGAGGAAAAGGTGGATTTGGATCAATGTTGCGTGCTATCGGCGCACAAATTGAGAAGACTACGAATCGCGAAGCATGTAGGGATTTAAGTGGACGGAGACTTCGTGATATCAACGAGGAAAAACGGTTGAAGGCGTGGATCGAGAAGCAGGGAAAACGAGAAGAGGAGGCAGCGGAACGCAAGAAAAAAAAATTGGAAAGACTTTGTGCCGAACCAAAACACGAATTCAAGGATCGAACCTACGATCGTGAAAGATCAGTTCTAACAGAAAGAGTGGGCGACGCGGTCGAGCAAGGATTCAAAGCTGCCAGTAGTACGTCTGGAATAAAAAGAAAACACGAAGATGAATTCAAACCCAACAAAAGAAAAACTATATTAGATATCGATATCGACTCCGATGAATTGGATAGTTCTGATGAAAGTGAGGAGGATGAAATGAAATGTGCGAAACACAATAAGAAGGAACAATTGTCGCACGATAGTGGACATTCCAGTGATGAAAGTGGAAAAATTAACGGAAATAAAAATCGAATGGAATCTAAAGGCTCAGTATATAATTGTGTGAATCAAATCAATGACGAAAGTTCAAGCAATACCATAGGTTCAGCTGGGGATCACATCGAAGTGGATTACAATGAATCTTCAGAGTCAAATTCAATGACACCTGTAGGTGAATGCCTTAAGGAATAATTATAAGAGCAAACACAAGTTTGTATTATAGGTTTTTATTATTTTTAAGTAATCAGAATGTTGTTCTGAATTCTTGTGTTCTGTATTAAACTAATAATGTCTTTATAAAATTGTGTTCCGTTTCCGTATTTTGAAAATAGTATTGTATAAATGCCCATCTAATAAAATTGTAGTTTCCTATATAAGCATATGAACTCGGATCGTTTTTATTGGTACTTTTCGAAACTCGTTACATTAAGAAACTTTCCATGCAGCTAACTCATGGGTGAGTTTAGCACCCAGTGCAAATAAGGCTATTGATGCGATAAATGATTTGAAAAAGTCATTAACTAACAATTCTTTGTGCTTGCATTGGCACACCCATTTATAAAAGTGTTGTGCATATTTCGAACCAATTAAGTATAGACGATCATTTTTTGCGTACTTTTTTTGAATTTGCGTATGCACCATTTCCGCTAAAGTTCCCAGACAAATGTTATACGAAGATTTGCGACACTTCTTGCATGAAAGAAGCTGAAAATAAATGTTATACGTTCCATGTTTGTTCTACTATATAGATGTGTATTTGAAAGAAAAACTTGTATCAATCCTCACATTTTTATAAACTTTGTTTTCTTCAGTACAAAATGGATCGGTTAACGTGGATAACGACTGTGCACAACTACCGTACTCCACGGCCATTTTTAACTTTCCCGCGGAGTACAAATTTGAGGTACAAATTTCTCACATCTGTTTCACATGACGATGTTTAGGAATTCAAGTATAAAACAAAATCGAAACTAACGTTCTTTTGTTCCATAGAACAAACTAGCTTGAAATAGACAAATGGGTGAATATAGATGAAAGATGCAATACAAAAGAAAAATTAGTATGATTCAACTAAACATATCGAGGAGGAAAATTTTTAAGGGGAATCCCACAAATTTTTTTATTATTTTTTATCTTAAATATTCTCCGAAATGACTTCTTAAATTAGTAATTAAGTTGAAAGAAATTAAGGAATTAGGTGAAAAAAAATTTGTTCTGTTCTGCAATCTGTACAAATTCGTGGAAGTTTGTAAAAAAACGGGTGAGTTGACCTTTTTATCGTCACGCTTACGTCCCATCGTTGCCGTGAAGAACGCGCTCTGGCCATTTAATTTGAACGTGATAAAAAAATATAAAGATAATTATTGAAAACGTGAATGAGTCCAGAAAGTGAGAAGCCAATACGAAGAAAAAAAATAAACGAAAAATCAGACATCGTTTAGCTATTTGCTACATGTTTAAATAGTGGGGGAACCAGTTGACCCTGACTACGGTCACTCTGACATCGGCACTGTCAGTTGCCATCCTGATCTTCGATACAACGGACACGATCTTCGACTGGTTCGGCGAATAATTAGTGACAATCGAAGACACTTTCCCTTTTTCTCTAAATAATCAGTGACTCAATACGTGTTAAGGAACACGTTTGGAAATGGTCAAATTCGTTGGTGCATGTGTGCTACTGCTTCCAGCGTTTCTACTCGGTGCCGTCAATACTCGTGAGTAAATATGATTGCGTAACTTTCTGCAGATTGTACAGATTACAATATAACGGCCATCGCAACAGACAACTCTGGAACATCATCGACGGTTGTTAATAAAACATACATATGTATACATGTGATTGGCGTTTGATTGGTTCGCGTAAAAATTACGAAACCATGGGAAGCACCGGTCGCTGTATCAAGGCGATCATCTCCTTGAGCACAGCTGAGCATTTTTAATGAAACATAAGACAAACGTTATTTCGTGAGAACTTCGACAATTCGAAGATCATTCTACAGAATATTCGATCGGCGATCGATGTTATTCCTGCAGTTTTCGACGAATGATTTTCATTTTTTTATTCAGAGTATGCAGCAGGATCGGACTGTGTGACGCCAAACAGGGCAGCTGGCGTTTGCATCGGAATACGACAATGCCAACCGTTGTTGAGTGTACTTCAAATGCGACCCCTTCAACAGGAAGCGATCGATTTCTTGAGGCAATCGCAATGCGGTTTCGACGGCAAGGATCCTCGAGTATGCTGTCCGTCTCTACAGCCATCGCCGCCCACCGTGGATCGAGTTACTCCGAATACCGAGCCAGGATCTAACCAGGACCCTACTTGGAACAGTGGAACCGATTCCACCATGCAGTACGATCTGTCGAATAATCCTTTGCTATCCACCGATTGCGGCCTGGATTTGTCTCAGAAAATCCTTGGCGGAGAACGGACGGACCTCGAGGAATTTCCTTGGATGGCGCTCTTGGAATACGTGAAACGTAAGTATATTTAACCCCTTGCCTTACAACATCGAGTCAGAAACGTGATAACGATTTCAAACTGAATTTAGTAAACATGTATATTATTCGTTTTCTTTAAATCGGCATGAAATACTGTTCCGCTGGTATTAACATTTAAGGTTTCGAATAAATATAAAATTTGCCATAAGAATAGAATTCCTTTTGTATCTGAGAAAATATTAAATATTAATAAGTCGTAAAAGGAATCGTATGGCAAGGGGTTAAACCGATTCAATAGAATAACATCGAAGCAACGCTGCCAAGTATCATATTGATTTTTCAGCAACCGGAAAGTCTACGGCTTGCGGTGGAGTTCTGATCAGTCGACGGTACGTTCTAACCGCAGCCCATTGCGTGAAAGGCAAGGATTTACCGAAGACGTGGCGTTTGGAGAGCGTACGTTTAGGGGAGTATAACACCGAGACCAATCCCGATTGCATACAGGACACCGAGGACTCCTTAACCTGCGCGGACGATCCCATCATCGTCGGTGTGGAAGAGCAAATCGCCCACGAGGATTACAGGCCACTGTCGACGGACCAGTCGCACGACATCGCCCTGCTGAGATTGTCACGCGACGTCCAATTCACGAACTACGTGAAACCAATATGTCTGCCGTCGAACGCCCAGTTGCGCGAACAGCTGACCGTCGCTGGCTGGGGAAGAACGGAGAACCGATCGTCGTCGGACGTGAAGCTGAAGCTCAAGTTGCCACTCGCCAACAAAGACGATTGCCAGACGACTTACCGTAACATAGGAGTGAGACTCGGCCCGGCACAGTTCTGCGCCGGTGGACAGAAGGGCAAGGATTCCTGCAAAGGGGATTCTGGCGGGCCTCTGATGTCGGTTGAAAGAACTCGCGACAATACAGTCAGATGGTCCGTTGTTGGTATCGTCTCGTTCGGGCCGTATCCGTGCGGCATGCTTGGATGGCCTGGTGTTTACACCAAAGTAACCGACTTCGTCCCTTGGATACTTAGTAAAATGAGACCTTAAGGTTCGAGTTTGAAGTTCATAACCGGCGTCCCTTCCGACAGCACTCCGCAGGGTGACCTATTTCTTCCTTGTATCTCTCGTAAACTGTTTGTACAATACATACTTCTGACAATTTGTTTCTTAATCCTAGAACGTCCAAGGGAGGATCCCTCGAACCCACACGTCGAATAGCATAAAATTATAACAATTTCCTGTTTGGAAAGAATTCTCAGCAAATTATTTATTGTCGTATGCATGTTTAGGTTTGATATTGAAAAGTCCTCGTTAGTATATGTGAGAAATATTGTGCGTAGGAAAAAGAAAACGCACTACAGGTTGATGTTATCATGCCTCTATTACGTCTTATTACACGATATATTACGCCCTTCTTATCTCCAAAGAATAACAAACGATCACAGAAGGGAGAATCGAACTAACTGAAGAATTAGAAGAATCAGATTCAGACTAGTTCCATGTTAGTATACTATTTTACGAAATCATTCTATTTTACAGATACATATAAATAAAAATTAATTTTAAGGAAAAATATGTGCTACCTTGTTTGTGACGTATAATATACTCGAATGTTATAAAATTTTCATAAAAAAATCATTTTTTTTTAGCAGGAATATGTAAGAAGTGTGGGTTCGAGGAGCCCCCTTAGGCGTTCACGTGACAGCTCGATACTCGGGCGATCTAGGAGCAGGTTCATTCGGACCTTCCTTGCGCGTCGACCCTTTTTACACAATTCTTTCTGTATACCAAAATTACTCTTTTTCTCTGTAATCTTATCTGTACACCAAAGGGTTATTCTTTACCAGTGTAAATAAATAAATTAAAACACATTAAAATCAACCCTTTCAAGAGTGTTCAGCAATGCGCATTGCTGTGTGCCTGTCTGACTACGATCGCGAACAACGCGCGTTGCAGACTCTTGAGAGGGTCGATTTTAATGGGTCTACGCGCAAGGAAGGCCCTAGTTACATGGAATTTTGTCTGGACCTGCCTTTACGTTAACAAACCAAGGGTTCATCGTGCTGGATTGTCGTCGAGAGGAGATTTTCTTCCGTGATCGACGATGTGACCCCGTTGCATTCGATCGAATCGTCATAATAAACTTTGTTACTCCACCATTATCGGTCTGAAAGGTTATCGTTTTCGTAGGCCACAGATAGAAAATCGTGATACAGATAGAATTATGTAAATCGTGTGCATGCACGGTGCAGGTCTGAATACAAATACGATCATTTTTCTAATTGCAATAGAAAACAGTAGTGTTAAGAGGAAATCCTCGATACCTCATCGCGCTACCTCCTATCGTTTCACCGAAGATATCGCAGGTAGCAACTCGGTGTAACGCGTTGCATTACCTGACCTAGACCATTCAGGTGGCTTCTGGAATTTCCGGGCCCACGTGACAAGTGGAGCTTAGCAAGAATCGAATGCAGAATTTTAGTGCACTGCAATTGCGTCTACTTCCAGCCCATGTATAAAAAACCGGCAATCATGCACCTGGCGACACTTCGGCTTGAAATTGATAACTGTACGCGCGCACCCTTTCGTTACAGAATTCTTCTTAATCGAGACCCTGTACGAGGAGCCTGGAATTAAATAAAAAGTGTCTTTTTTTTTTTTTTGGGGAAATAATTCTCGAAAAGAATTCATCCCACTATCTTCGACTCAAGTATTGGTGAAAATAGATGAAAGATGCAGTACAGAAGAGAAATTAGTATGAATCAAGTAAACATATCGGGGAGGAAAATGTTTATGGGAATTTCACAAATATTTCGATTATTTTTTAATTGCCTTTGGTACCGATCTCTTATCTTCCTCTCGCTTATTCTCAACAAAATATTCCCTGATATTACTTCTTTAGTTAATAATTAACTTGAAAGAAATTAAGAAGTTAGATGAAAGAAAAAATCGGTTCTGTTCTTGATGAACCAAAGTTTTTTCATCGTATAATATGCGATCTATACAAATCCATGGAAGTTTGTGAAAAAACGGGCGAGTTGACCTTTTTATCGTCTTGCTTATGTCCCCTCGTTGCCGTGAAGAACGCGCCCCCGGCCATTTAATTGGAACAGCATCAAAAGATATAAGGAAAATGATTGAAAACGTGAATCAACCCAGAAGGTGAGAAGCCAATACGAAGTAAAAAATATCCAAAAAATCATGCATCGTTTAACTATTTGTAACATGTTTAAATAGTGGGGGAACCTGTTCACCCTGACTCCGGTAATTCTGACATTGATTCTGTTAGTTGCCATCCTGATCTTCAATGCGACGGAGTCAACGAACACGATATTCACCTGGCTTGGCGAATAATTTGTGATAATCAAGGACACTTTCCCTTTTTTTTTTTTAAATCATCAGTGAACCAATACGTGTTAAGTAACGCGTTTGGAAATGGTCAAGTTAGTTGGTTTATGTGTGCTCCTGCTTCTAGCGTTTTTACACGGTTCCATCAATACCCGTGAGTAATTACGATTGCGTAATTTTTTGCTGATTGTACAAATTACAATATAACGGTCTTCGCAATAAACAACTCCGGAAACTTGTCGACGATTGTTAATAAGGAATCACACGTGAAACTAGTTTGTAGAAGGAAACATACATATACATATGGTTGACGTTTGATTTGATTGAATGATGAAAATTGATGACGAAACCATCGGAAGCACCGGTCACTGTATCAAAACATCTCCTTGAACACAACGGAGCATTTTCAATGTTCATAAAAATAAGTGCTCCATCCTTCAAATACGACTTATTATATTTATAATAGTTAATTATTCAATGAACTGTATTTCGAAGAGCATTCAACAGGATGGTTCGATCGGCGATCGATATTATTCAGATCCCGACGAATGGCGATCGGTGTTATTGCAGTTTCCGACGAATGGTTTTTTTTTCAGAGCATGCAGCAGGATCGAGCTGCGTGACGCCAAACGAGGCAGCTGGCGTTTGCATTGGAATACGACAATGCCGACCGTTGTTATTTATACTCGATACTCAACCCCTTCCACCGGAAGCGATAAATTTCTTAAGGGAATCGCAATGCGGTTTCGACGGCAAGGATCCCCGTGTATGCTGTCCGTCTTTACAGCTAACGCCGCCCACCGAATCGATTATGCAGTACGATCTGCCCCAGAATCCTCTGCTATCCGCCGATTGCGGTCTGGATTTTTCTCAAAAAATCTATGGCGGCGAAAAGACGGACCTCGAGGAATTTCCTTGGATGGCGCTCTTGGAATACGTGAAACGTAAGGATATTTAACCCCTTGCCTTACAACATCGAGTCAGAAACGTGATAACGATTTCAAACTGAATTTAGTAAACATGTATATTATTCGTTTTCTTTAAATCGGCATGAAATACTGTTCCGCTGGTATTAACATTTAAGGTTTCGAATAAATATAACATTTGCCATAAGAATGGAATTCCTTTTGTATCTGAGAAAATATTAACGATAAAGATATTTGTCAGAGTGAAGTCGTAAAAGAAATCGTATGACAAGGGGTTAAACCGATTCAATAGAATAACATCGAAGCAACGCTGCCAAGTATCATATTGATTTTTTAGCAACCGGAAAGTCTACGGCTTGCGGTGGAGTTTTGATCAGTCGACGGTACGTTCTAACGGCAGCCCATTGCGTGAAGGGCAAGGATTTACCAAGGTCATGGCGTTTGGTAAGCGTACGTTTAGGGGAGTATAACACCGAGACCGATCCCGATTGCATACGGGACACCGAGAACACCTTAACCTGCGCGGACGATCCCATCAACGTAGGTGTGGAAGAGCAAATCGCCCACGAGGAGTACAGGCCATTGTCGACGGATCAATTGTACGACATCGCCCTGTTAAGATTGTCTCGCGACGTCAAGTTCACGAACTACGTGAAACCAATATGTCTGCCGTCGAACGCCCCGTTGCGGGAACAGCTGACCGTCGCTGGCTGGGGAAGAACGGAGAACCGATCGTCGTCGAACGTGAAGCTGAAGACCAAGTTGCCAGTCGCCGACAGAAACGTATGCCAGACGACTTACCGTAATATAGGAGTATGGCTCGGTTTTGGACAATTTTGCGCCGGTGGACAGAAGGCCAAGGACTCCTGCAAAGGGGATTCTGGAGGGCCCCTGATGTCGGTGGAAAGAACTCGCAACAATCTCGTTAGATGGTCCGTCGTCGGTATCGTCTCGTTCGGGCTGTATCCATGCGCTATCGAGGGATGGCCTGGTGTTTACTCCAAAGTGGCAGACTTCGTCCCTTGGATACTCAGTAAAATGAGACCTTAAGGTCCGAGCACAGACGAAGTATAGGAGTAGACATTTCATCCAATGTGTATTTGCTGCCTACTTTTTTTCTGGGGTTGTTACCTCATTTTCATTTCAGTGTCACTACCCCAGACGCGACATAAGCATAAACCTAACATGCAATGTAATTTTCTGTCCCATACTTTGGGGGTGTTAGAAGCACCTGTACATTTCAGTATTCCATTTCTTGTTAACCAGTCATTTTCGAGGGACACCAAGTCCCATGAGATGTTATGTTTATTCTTATATCTCGCGTATGTCACTACGCACCGGAGATTTACCATTCTCATAACGTAGGGGTCACTAAAATCACAAGGGTTTTTAAGGTGTCGGTACTACAGTTTAGGTAGGCCACTAGCTCCCATAAGATGAATTTCATCTGATGAAAGGTCTATTCTTTTACCTCGTCGGTGGTCCGAGTTTAAAGTTCATAACCGCCGTCCCTTTCGACAGTATTCCACAAAGTGATTTATTCCTTCCCTCTCCTTAAACTACTAGAATTATACTTCTAATAATTTGGTTCTTACGTGAATCACGTTAAAGAATCAAAGTTCATCGTGCTCGACACGTTAAGATGCAAATTGCTTTCCGTGATTAACGATGGGACCATTCGATCGAATCGTCGCAATAAACTTTCTTGCTCTACCGTTATCAGTTCGAAAGGTTATCGTTTTCGTAGGTCACAGATAGAATCATGTAAATTGTAAATCGTGTACGTGCACATGTGAATACAAATGCGATCGCTTTTCCAATTGTGACGGAAAGAAGAGTCATCCGTTACGGTCTGTTGCCTCCAGTGAATTAGAACAACGTTTATCAATTCGAATCACGGGAATACCTGATTGTTTCATGGGAGTGAACCGCAAACTCAACACGAACGGAGGACTGATGGATTCGACGAATCCCAAGTCTGTCGCAGCGTCTGTTCCACGAAAATTGACTAATATGTAAAATGCAAATACATACACGGAATCCAGAGGGAAAGAATACTGATTTCGTTTCTTTTTTTTTTTTAACAGATCGCTAAAAAGAAAGAACGACCACAATCCTGCGACCGGTTATGACACCAAAAACAATCTAAAAAACAAGATCTCGTGGTCGCGTGCGTTGTCATGGGTCGGAAGAATTTTCCTGGTAGCCCCTTCCCCATCGGCCATTCTTTTTTTTTTTCTTCTTTCATCGTTAAGACTCGTAGAATTCCGTAGATGGCAGCAGTTAGTACGTCGCGGACCATCGTCGCGAGTTCGTCCTCCGCGGGGACCAACAAATAAACAGTTTTCGAAACTGGTTTGACCGCTTCACCGGCGATTTGAAAAATCCCAGAGGCGAGTTCAAGTGTAACCGGTCGAATTTTTCAGAACGCGACAATTTTTCTTTCTTCTTTTTTAATTTTTTTTTTATTTCGCTGCTCGTACCGGAAGAATCAACGGAGGAGCCAACATAATCGTGCGTTCCTCCGTAACGACGCGAAAGGACGAGTGACCGTGTAACTTTGAACGTGCGTTTTATAAACAAGAGAGAAAAAAGAAACGGCGATACGTTCGGCAACAAACATGATCGGTCACATCTTTTTATGCGTGGTTGTGATTCTGCAGGCGTGTGTCGCGCGTAAGTATTGTAAAATTTTAGAAGTAACAAAATAACAAAAAACCATCGCTACTGTACTTTGACATTTGAAACCTGATCCGGGCGATTTTATGTTCTCTACGTTAATTTCGTGCATCCAACATGATTTGTTCTTATGATCGAAATGATCGGTACATATTAATTCAGGATGACCGTGAAATGTTATTTTTTCATTTTTTTACTTCTATTCGTGGCGAATCAACGACGATTCAGAACCTGATGGACTCGCTAATCGATTGACAGGAAAAAGTATCTTGATTTCTGACAGCCGTGTCAAATAGTCACATATTTTCCTCTTGACTAATTAACACCCCCCTCCCACTCCTTGCCGAGGAATCGCGTGTCCTCTGAAAATTGATTGATTCTTTCCACAGAAGATAGATGCAACACGCCACAGAACAAATCCGGTGTTTGCGTCAATGTGCGCAGCTGTCAACCGGTGTTAGACATTCTTGTAAAGCAAAGGCCTTTAAGTAAAGAAATTATCAACTACTTGACTAGCTTGCAGTGCGGCTTCGAGGGGAAAAATCCCAAAGTTTGTTGCGAACAGGTAAACCAATCCTCCCGTTGTTATTAATTCCATTTGATTAGCAATCGTATTCCGCGATCAAGGAATTTTTAGACGGCGTAGTGACGGAATAAAACGAAAGAAATAAGAAAAGGAAACATTCGATTTCAGAGTCCAGGTGGACCGACAACGGAAGAACCGACACAGTCGCCCCCGACAGTCCCGAATCCTCAGGGAATCCCGAATCCCCCAGATGTTTTGAATCACCCGAACAGACTGTTAGTGAACGAAGACGTGTGCGGTCCGTCGACCACCGAAAAAATCATCGGCGGCAACAAGACCGGCGTGTTCGATTATCCATGGATGGTGTTAATCGAAGCGTACAATCCCCGGCGCGACATAACGGAATTCATATGCGGAGGAACGTTGATCAACAAACGATACGTGTTGACCGCTGCTCATTGCGTGACATCGTTGCCCGGCGGTAATACAACACGTCACTGTCCAGATAGCAAATGACATCTTGAAGACGCCTATTTTACGGCTATTTTAGGTCCGAGACGTCTTTAAGCCGTTATTAAGCCGTCTTGTGCTATCTGAGTGAATGACAACTGGAACAATTTCTGTACAATAATCTTGTGATACAATAATAGGCGTGTCACAATTTCATCGACGTGATTTCGATAGGTCTCAGAGTGACCGGAGTACGGATAGGAGAGCACGACTTGAGCACGGCACAGGACTGCGAGAAAGATGAGAATGGTCGCGACTTGGTGTGCACCGAAGGATACCAAACGTTTCAGCTAGAAGGCATGCACTTCCATCCCGAATACTCGACGAAGAAACTGCAAAACGATATTGCCCTGATGCGATTGAACAGAGACGTCGATTACACGCCCCAAAACATCCGCCCGATTTGCTTGCCGATCGGACCAGCCGCTACCATGTCGAAAAAAAAGGTAAATACGATCCTCGATACCAAAACACTCAGCCGATCGTTCTCACAAGGGAAACTTCCAGGTCGGCTAATTGCATTTATAATGACACTATACAGGGTGTCCCAAAATAGCTTCGACTCCCGGAAATGAGGAGTTCCTGGTATGATTTGAAACAACTTTTTCCTTAGCAAAAATATTATCCGAGGCTTTGTTAACAAGATATCAACGAAAAACCCCGACCAATCAGAGTCTGCCGGCTGAGTTCCCGCGGTAATGTTGGTTACGCGCTGCGATTGGTAGCCAACGATACCGCGGGAACTCGGCCGACAGACAAGCGCTCTGATTGGTCGGGGTTTTTCGTTGATATCTCGTTAACGAAGCCTCGGATAACATTTTTGAAAAGGAAAAAGTTGTTTCAAATCATCCCAAGAACCCCTCATTTCCGGGAATCGAAGCTATTTCGGAACATTCTGTATAGTGTACTTCTATAAGCGATTAACTGACCCGGAAATTGCCTGACCTTGTCAGTAAATATTTGCTCCCTGATATTGAACACCCGTGACAGGTGACGGTGACCGGTTGGGGCACGACGGAATTCGGTCCGCGGAGTCAGGCTTTGCTACAAGTGAAATTATTGCCCGTCAGTACCGAGGAATGCGCGCAAGCCTTCAACGGAAAGGCGCAGATTTGGTATAAACAGATGTGCGCCGGTGGTAAGAAAGGAATGGACTCGTGCTCGGGGGACAGCGGTGGACCGCTTCAGAGCCTTTCGTTTTTCAACAATACCGTGAAATACGTTCAGTACGGGATCGTCAGTTTCGGACTTATGAACTGTGGTACGGGCGGAGTTCCCGGTGTTTACACCAATGTCATCTATTACATGGACTGGATCTTAAACACTGTCAGACCGTAAAGCAGCATAGACGGTACGCATCTTTTATTCGGAAATCTTTTATACACAATCGATAAATCATGTCAGAAACTGCGGTTTTCGTATCTGTAAATCGCTTTACCCAAATTCCCTTTTGTACTTGATATTCCACGAGAATTATACATATTATTTGTATATATATATATATATATATTGTTCGCACCGTACGATTCTACATTTTTTCATTCTAAACTTTCATAATAATGATATACAATAAATTGTCACCGGTTAAAAATATATGCGTTATTATATATTGTATGTATTTGGACGGTATGAAATGTATGCAAAGTCTGAACATTTAAAGATGTATAAAATTTAGTCACCATATTTGTACGTATACCGGTATTACGTGGAATCTACGTTACTGTCGACATCGTGCTTATCGCTGTGTACGGTGTTTTCATCGTGATCGTCGCTGGAAGAACGCTGGTCACCGTACAATTCATCGTTTTCATTTTGATCTTCGATCAGTTCCGCCGTCTCGTTTATAGAGACTTTTAATTGGCCGCGATCCCCTTTCTTTCGCGAAAACGAACATTGTGATTTCGCTGTCGACTTGTCGGAAGCGCGAGACGCATCCGACGACTTGGACGATTGGCTCGCAGACCATAACGTTCCACAAGAACTAATAACCGATCCAGAATCCGGCCTGCAAACATTTTCATAGTCGACGTACGAATCTACATTACGCGATTTTTGACTGTGTTGCATTCTCTTTTTCTTTCGTTGCGACGATTTTGGCGTCTCTTTTTGTTGCGTGTTCATCAACGACTGATACGTCTAGAATAAAAAGCTAATTAATTCGTTTCACGTGTCCGTTACGTGAATGGTGAATTTTATTCACCTGAGAATGACGTTCAAAGAGAGTCGGTATTTGAGTTACCCGATCCAGCATCAGTTCCATTTGCAGTCGATGACGTTCCGCCTGTTCGCGCGCTTCGTCGCGACGAAGCGAAGTTCGAATGTTAAGATCTCTCTCATGGTCGTGCCTAACATTGAAAATTCATATGTATACACATTAAGCCATCAAAAACGAACATTACTTTTTGACACAACAATCCTATGTCGAAGAAATATGTACACAGTGATCTTACTTCAGGAATGTCGTACCTTGCTGAAGATCTCAAAGCTCTCCATACAGGATTCCGTCCAACGTAAGATTCTTTCAACCTTAATGCTTGTTCTCGACGTTTCTCCTCCATTTTCTCTTTTATTTCGCGCTCTAATTTTTCTCTACAACATACATGTGTGAATACTCGTTTACTTCTCGTATATGCTACCAGTGAGACATTGTACAATTGCTGACAACACTAAGTAGCATTGTAATACCGTGACATTTGACATCTTAAAATCGCTGCCAAATTATTTCCCCGTACTGGCAAAAGCGACATCGCCGATCTACATCGTTCTAATGGTACCGATGTACTGCTTGATAACTGAGAGGAATTTCTACACTCGATGCTCTCGTTAGAACTTTTCTTCGTGTCTTGTATACGCGTATACGTCGATTTCACGCGTTCACGCCTTGCCATTGACGGTGGTAAACAAGATGATTTCATCAATTCCGCCGCTCTTACCCTTTTCTGCAGGTGTCTGAAGATCACAGACAATTTTAATTAATTATTCTTCTACTGGATGATTTATACAATAATATTCTATGCGTTATATTCACCTGTAATATTCGTCTTCAAGCATACGATCGTATATCTCGGTTGTAAACAGATTCTTCGGCACGGGTTTAGCCTTGAATTTCGTTAATGCGTTAACGCTTTTACTACGAATTTCTGGGCTAGACCTTGCTAAAGATCTCTGGGCTCGGCGATCGCATTCGAGTCTAAAGGGACGTACCTGGGACATCAAATTTATGGCACTTTCCTCGCGGATCATACGACTTCTAAAAGGTAAATTACATTAAACGATTGTACTTAGCGTCATGTATTATAGCAAGTAACAGAATATATGTATACACGAAATATAAACGTGAACAAACCGTTCTTCCTTCTCGGCTATTAATTTGTTGTACAATGGAATTTTCGATGTAAGTGGAATCGGTCTTATACGACGTTTCCTGCAAGGACTTTTATTACTATTTATGGAATTTTTACGTTGTGCGTTCTCTGTTTCAACTTGCACCATGTACTGTTCTGCTTCTTCTCTAAAATATAGAGCATATAATATTGTTATGTTTCAGTCTTCGAATTAGTGATTCGAGTAATCTACATTGTATATTACCGTAAGGTAAAGCTAAATGGCTTGGGAACTGTAGGATGCCATTCCTTTGAAATACTAGCTGGTAAGCTTCTTGTCTCTACACTGTCTATATCGCTTTCCACTGTATCCTTGCTCTTGAATTCGTTCCACATTCTCCAATTATTATCAATGGAATGAATTTTCTCATTGCACACTGTTTTAGCATCTTTGTCTCTCTGTTTACATCTGAAGGCATAGTAAAGAAGCTACAATCCTGAGTAAATGGAAATTACTTCTTTTCAATAAGTAACAAATACCTATCTATCAAAAGATTTGGATCCTCCATAAGGCAAACAAATTTCTCAGATGGAAAAAGCATAGGACTAGCTGTTCTGAACTCTTCCAAGTAACATTTTTTACCATTTAATTTTAAATCATTATTATCATTTGTATTTTGGTTGTTCGGGCTTTGATCACATTTTGATATTGTGAATCCAGACCCCTTTGTATCCTCATCATCGACAAGTGAATTTTGCAAATTTTTTAATAATAGCTTCTGTTTTCTTTTCAAATAATCTACTTTTTGTTTAAACTGTTCATTTGACAAATGATGGACTTGACCATAGTCTGGGATACTCTCCAGAAATTCTAAAAAGTTGTCTACAATTTCCCTTGGACTTGAGGTCTCTGACTCACCAATAATTTCAGTGCCTGTTACAAAATTGAGTTTACTTGTTTTATCAGTGTAATTATCTTTACAACTTTTTGCAAGTCTAGGACGTTCATAAGAAGGTGTTGGTTGCCTACTACAAGGGTCCACTGGAACTTTTACACAAGAATTGTAAAATGATGTGCCTCTGTGTTCTGTCATTGCCTAGTCAAGGAAGAAACAATTTAATAAAATATTAGAACATCCACTTTTTTTTTGTAATTATTACAATATTTCCTATATATTTAATATGGGATCATTTTGTTCTGAATTGTCGTATTGAATAAGTACTTATTTTAGAATTTCATTTTAATCAAAGTAATAAATATTTTAGAAAACAATTTCACAAAATATTTCACACAAAACAGTTTATGTCCACTTTTATCAGCAAAAAATGATTCCTTATAATCTTTAAATGCAGAAACATTAATAAGTACTTACCCGTGTTTCTATTGCGTGCGATATTTATGTTATATTCTTATTGGAAACATATAAACGCAATTTATGTAAAGAATAGTGTATATAACGTATACATTATTATTTTTCTATCTCTATGCACAGATTGATCAAATATACCCTATCACAGACTCGCCGAAGTTCAACTTCGCTTCAAGTTGTTATCACTACGTGAAAACATTTAGAAAAGATCAATGGAATGTGTTCCTTCTGTGTTCGTCACCATGGTAAATGAGAAAGAATGTTATGGGTTATAATTATGTAATAAAATAGATCATGTGTATTATATTTTTATTTGATTATAAACTATAAAAAATATTTTTATACACATTCGAGCAACGTATGCAAACAGCGATTATAAATACATAATGCTTATAAAGTACAGTACATATACATATTTCTACCAAATCGATCGAATCTTTTTATTTTGAATGAAACAATTATTACATATTCGAATAATTGTACAATTAAGCTACTGTTAACAATAGAACATAACAACAAAACAATTCAGTAAACTTCATTTTTTCAATATGTAATGCAATCGTCTCTGTGAAGATCGACAGTTCGAATAGAAAATCTTTTAGCCAATTAGTACCAGAATCTCACCGTAAGTTGACACCACTACTCAATTATGGTACTTATCGGTGGCGTTCTCTGAAATTACAAAAGTGGCACTAATCAGCTAATAGCTTAAGTGTTTTACCGTAGATAACGCCACCAGTCTTTTAACGACATTTAAAATCGTTAGAAGCGACAATTGTTAATGAATAAATTCGACTCGAAAGGAGTCAATAAACAATCGGACATCATTGGTAAAGTCACTGAATAATACTAAATAATAATATACTAATGCTTAAAGAATGCAGATGAAGCCTCGACAAAGGATAATTGAAGAGAATTGTAAGAGTATATTTAAAATTATATAGTACTGAATAATTTAGAACGAATTGATTTTTCAACGGAGTTTTACGGATGTATTAATTTACAACATTTTCAAATTGAAGTTTGATAATCATAGATTAAGCCTTAATAATTGATAATAAATGAAGTAAGTATATATGTTTACTAATAATTAGACCGTTGTATATACTACATACATATTGCAGATGATATTGTTTTTTCTTTGATATAGATTGCATTTGTAACGAGCATACAAAACATAAAAAATGGCGGCCTTTGTAAAGTCGTTTTCCTGTTATCGTAGTTTTTCGCCAATTTCAAAAAGATGCATCACTCCTAGTACAACAACAATCGCAGCGAAACATCGTTGTACATTTACTCAAAATGATGAAAATTACGATATCATTATAACCGGTGGTGGTATGGTCGGAACAACACTAGCTTGTGCAATAGGTTAGTCTTTCTTTTTATATTAAAGTCATGTGCAATACCTGATTATTGTTGAGAAAGTTGTGAAACGATAACTTTCTTAATTTCATAATATTACATTACACTCATAACAGTACATCTTTCCTTGCAACAGCTAATAATAGAAGACTTGAATGTAGGAGAATTCTTTTACTCGAAGGTGGCAAAAAAGTTGAATACAAACCACAAGAACAATATTCCAATCGTGTGGTTGCTTTAAATCAACAGACACGTACCTTACTTTCGAGTATAGGTGCTTGGCAACATATAGAAGCAATACGGTATTGTCCTGTACGAAAAATGCAGGTATTATGAAAATTTTTAAATAACACATTTAGTATCTTAAAAGATTTTAATATTTTACATTCTATGATAATGTTATAATTATGGCATTAAACATAATATTTTTAGTAGGTATGGGATGCTTGTTCTGATGCTATGATTGAATTCAATGAGGATCACTTATCAGAAGAGATTGCTTACATAGTTGAAAATAACTTATTGTTACATGCAGTAAACAAACAAGTGGCAGAGAAAGAAAATGTTACCATAGTTTATGACTCTAAAGTTGACAATATTAAATTACCTGAAGTTCAAGGAGGAGATGCAAAGATACAATTGCAGAATGGAAAAAGATATAAAACCAAATTATTGGTAAGAAAATGAACAATTTAATTCTACATTAATATGTTGAATACTATATGTTTTACTCAATCGCTATAGTCCCTAACAATGGTTTCTATTTTGTTAGTTAAGTTGTCCAAGCGTGCACTGATATTATATGAGCATCTTTTTAATTCTGCAGATAATTCGTTTAGTTGTTGTTGATTGTTGTCGTTTGTCGAAGCTGTGCTACAGAGTCTGCTTAATCTAGAATTACTGGTTCCCGTATTACTTCTGTTACGTGTAGATACGCTTCTAATATTTGTATTACGATTTCTCCTTTCGCTTACTAAACGGTAAATGGCTTTTATTAATTCTCGTGGTAAGCGGTTTTCACGGGGATCATTAGGTCGTATATGAAGGGCACAATGATGCGGTGGATGTAAAAGTAGTGCCCCTCTTCTGCATGTGTTCATAATTCTACTCGGAGCATGATCCAGAAGCTTAGAAAATAACATACTTTCCAAGTGTGCCACTAACTCTGCTCTACGTACTAATCTGTCCAATCCAGCACATCTTCGCAGTTCTTGTATATCTGATACGGCAAGGCCCATCATTAAATTTGTTAAAATTACCGTTACCAGGATAACAAAACTTAGAAGCATTAAATGTGCCGTACCAGAGTATAATATTGGTGCAGTTTCATCAAAAAATACATCTTCAAATTCTAATTCTCCGGACATCATTATAATAGTTTTTAATAAACCAACCAAGGGGTTAGCAAATGATTTATAGTTTTTATGCAATACACTGAAACCCAAGGAAAAGCCTATTATAAGGCATATGTACGCACCGATGAATTTAAAAAAATTAATTGAAACTTGGGTAAACATTTGTATGTAAAGACCAAACATTGGAAATCTTCCAACTACCATCATTAACTCTATCCAAATTAGTAGAATACCTAGAGCAGCCACATGATGCTGCCAATTATATACTGGCATAATTAGTACTACACTCGACACTAAAACAACGCTCCATTGAAGCCAATTTTCCCATCCTTTAATGTAGCACCATACACCGTGGGCCATTTGAAAGAATTCTTTACCCGCGAGCATTATAGTAAACATCAATACCGGCCAAAACAATATTTTCCTAAGTTTCTCAATATTCCAAAAGTACGTGACTGCAATATATGCGGTGAAAAATGCAACAAAGATGGAATGAAATACTAAGCTTAGTAAGAAAAATTTACGTATCCTTAACCATTTTAAGTAAAGGAAACTTTCGCATAATGGATGTTTTAAGACGTGTCTTTGTCCAACTTCCACAAGGCATAACATTAAATCAGTTTCGCCTCTACCGCCTGGAACCAACGGTCTGAAATCTAATCTCAGTTCACAATCAACGTCGCCCAATTCGTGATCGTGTAACGAAATAGCTTGATCCAAACGTGAAATAAATCTTGGTAACACGTCCGGCGTCCTGCGTACAATGAAACTTAATGCAGAAATACCACCTCTTGTTTTAGCAGTAACGTCTGCTCCTTTCGATAATAACATCATCACTGTTGATGAACTTTCATTTAATGCAGCAATATGTAAGGGCGTATAGCCAAATTTGTCTGCTTTATTGATAACAGCGCCAGCCTTTTGGAACAAAATGTATTTAGTTTTAAATGGAGACAGATTTTCCACGTAATTTTATTAATCAGTAAATTAACCTGCATCAATATCTTGACCAATTCTATCCCCCTAGTAGCTTTCGCAACCGCAGCATGCAACGGAGTACGACCATCGTTATCTTCTGTATTAACTTTAGCACCGTTGCTTATAAGTATATCCAAAGTTTCTGCTGATTGAGACAGAGCTGCCAAGTGTAGTGGTGTCTGACCTCTTGAAGTTTTTACTTCGCAAGCTGCACCAGCATCCAACAATAGCTTTGTGCATTCCGCACTCCCTTCTTCTGCTGATAAATGTAATGGTGTTGATCTCGTGGAACTAAATTGTACCCTTACATCTGCTCCATACTTCAACAATAATTTTGTACATATTACTGAACCCAGACTAGCTGCTACATGTAACGGTGTCTCTGTATAAACCTGTGTAACCGATGTTCATTGAAAACTGTCGAATTCCAAGTGCACCACTTCAAATATCTTATTCAGTACATATTTGTACATACATACTTGAGGATTGTTAGGACAAGCGCCTGCATTTAATAAAGCTTCAACACAATCTTCTGCATTACTTAAAACAGCATAGTAAAGAGGACTTTTCCCAGACAATCCAGCATTTACATCTGCTCCTGACTTTATTAAACATTTAACACAGGAAATGTCTCCAGTGGCAGCGGCGCAATGCAATGGTGTACATTTCTTATTAAAGTCCCATTCGCGTGGATTTGCGCCATACTTTAATAATTCTTCTAAAATCTTCACCGAAGCCGCGCAGGCAGCTAAATGCAACGGTGTCCTATGAAATGAATCCATTATTTTCCTTCAAAAATTCATCATCTTATCGTGCTACTTTATATACCTGCCATCGCTGTCTCTAACCGCAGCATTTGCACTTTTGCTCAATAAAACTTTTACCACTTCAGTATGACCCAAAAAGCAAGCAACTAAGAGACAAGTGTTCGGCCACCTCTTTAAAAGTTGTAAAAAGTTCACATTTGTCGATGCTTCGTTTTCAGTACTTAAGAACGGAGTATGTATACGTCTGTATTAAACATAATATTATAGTATTATGTAATAAAATTATATTCAAAAATAATTATTATGACCATGAATGCAATAATCGTTGTACCCTGTTGCATACGAAGGTATAGATATTTTCCTAGCGGTCGGTACCACCTCATTACCGTCGCTATTTAAAAATTCGTTTAAAATTTTATGTAAAGTATCGCCGTGAAGAGTTGGAATAACGGAAAGTACATGTTCCCCAAATGGAAGATTAGAAAGAGTTGAAACAATCTCCTCTTTGCTCCACGGTTGTTGTTTTATCATTGGTGCTTCTCTTATGTGGTAGACAGCAGAGTCGGAACTGGTTTCTGAACTTATACTACTGTTGTCTATATCATTCATCCAAATATGTTCGCAGTCTTCCTAAAATTACTTGTATTTAACAATCAACGTTCAAACACATTTTCCCGTACTTACAGTATCGTTAACAACAATCGAGGGTGTTTCCATTACGCCTCCTGTATTTATTTCTTCTTGAGAAATACGATTACTTAAAAATCTACTCAGAAGAGCTTTTCTCTTTAGGATTGACATGCCACTTTATGTGAAATTTTGTTTCAACTTTTATAGACCTAAATAAAAATCGCAAGATCACGTTCTTTTTCATTGCCGAAATTATGAAAATTACAAAGTTTGTAATACCTGCATATTGTGCACCATCTGCCTTTAGTCCCAAGTACTTAAAAACTATTTCAGTTGCCAGTATGGTCCAGAGCAAGACCACACATGTTGCTTGGTGTTTATAAAACAGAACTGGCATATATTTAGCTCTCACTAGTTCTTGCTGTAAGTATGGGGCAGGGGAAGATTCCTTCTTCAAAATTTTTTTATTCTACTAATATCTCTTGTGTTGTTACTATTGAAAAATAATATATAAAACTTATATGCATTTTGTGTTACTCTTCACTTTTCACTTCACATACTTAGTCATATAACTGATAACAACATCCTTTGAGGAAACTACTGTATTTCTTGTATGTTATTTATTCCTTTGCATCATGAATGGTGTGTTTACATGTGTATAGTATACTTTAAAGCTTGCAAAATTGAAGTTTAGAGTTTGCACGAAATTTTAAATTGTGGATGCATTCACAAATTACCATTTATGCTTAAACATGAAATTATATGGTCATTATAAATGTCACAATATGAAATTGAACTGTTTATACATATAATATGTCATATAATATATAAAAAGTCATCCATTCTGACCAAACTAAGTGTAAAATAATTAAGAATTGCATTCAGTACTTCTACTGAAGTGTGGCAGAGAACTGAAGTTATTTCCAGACATATTGCTAATCCCTCTTTCTTCTTCCCCTTCCAATAAGCATAACACTGGCATTGTTTCTATAGAACATTGTAATATTTCATTTCTTCTTTATTATGATAGTACCATCAATTTTTTAATAAGACATCAAACCAAATGTTTGTTACAGGTTGGAGCAGATGGTGCAAATTCACTGGTACGACAGTCTATGGGTGTACAATATGTGAAATGGGATTATAGTCAGTTAGGTATTGTCGCTACACTTATGTTATCAGAGGTAAAAATTATACTGGTACCAAATTATTTCATTTTTCAAGTTTACATTAATTTTATTTTTGTTTCAGCCGACAGAGAATATCGTTGCGTGGCAAAGATTCCTGCCAACAGGTCCAATAGCATTACTCCCCGTAATTTTTATATTTTTATAAACAGTTAGAATTAAATGGATATTAGACTGACTATTTTTTTTATTATAGCTAACAGATTCTCTTAGTTCACTCGTGTGGTCTCTACCGACAAATGAAGCAAAGAGACTTTTAAAAGTTTCTGAAGAAGAATTTGTTGACAGCGTGAATAACGCGTTATGGAAACTTTACCCAAAAGATGGTATAGTTGAAAGTGGCTTGCGAGCCCTTCAACAGTTACTCAAAGGTTTATCTTTACGAACGGGAGTGGCCAGACAATTACAGCCATCAATATCAGCTATTGCAGAAGGATCACGCGCAGCATTTCCTTTACAGTTTGGTCATTCAGTATCTTACGTTGGGACAGGAACTGTTTTGGTTGGGTTAGTAAAGAAAGAGATGCATGACTGGTACTTCAGTATTGTTATAAACATTTTCGTTACTTTAACGTTTGTGTTTATATAACAAATGTACAATTATATTGTATAAGATTATAAATTTTAAATAAAATTTTCAGAGATGCAGCACATAGAGTCCATCCGTTGGCTGGTCAAGGTGTTAATTTAGGTTTTGGAGATGTAACAGTATTAGTCCAACTTCTAGCAGAGGGTGCTATAAATGGAGCTTCTTTGGGTGATATGATGTATTTACGGAAGTATGAAACGTTAAGACAGCGGTACAATGTTCCAACGATGCTTGCCATTGACGCATTACACCGGTTGTATAAAGGAACCGCGGCTCCTATTGTCCTAGCCAGAAGTTTGGGGTTGCAACTGACGAATGCTATTCCTTTAGTAAAGGTGAAAGCCATATAATAAACAGAAATTTAGATTACATAATATTCTTCATTCCACATGAATTGAAGTAGCACAACTTATTTCAGAAAGCCCTGATACAACATGCATCTGGCCAAGAAGTCAGTCGATGATGTTTCTGAAGTGAATATAAAACATACTTTTGTATTATAGTCTTGTTACTGCTTTTGTAATACCGATTTCGAATAGTAATTATTTACGGCATATAATGAAGCCGTCGGAATTGGAAATGTAAACATTAATCTGTAATATATTGTTCACATACATGTATTTCGACACAGTTTTATGATACATAATAAAAAAATATGTGTGTAGATATGTACATGTATCAATGTTCATTCTTAATAGCGTTGTGTTTTTAATTTTAAAAATATATTTATTGTCTTCTACAAAAATATTTCGTATCACTTTTAATATGTCTAACATCGCGTTAAATGTTTTAATCGTTCAACAAGTGACAATAAATTTACAAGTTCCATAAATTAACCGTCATCTATCGGTATCTAAACCTATAAATATTTACCAACAAACTTCAGTATGTAAAAAGAAAGCATAGTACAATAGTATAATCATGCAAATTATCTATTATACCACCACGTGTGCAAAGGTTAATAATTCATGATTGGATGCAGGTTAACATGTCACTTTTTCAGAAGAAGTTGATACGTAAAGAATCATTCAATAAAACTAGTTTGGTACATTTAAAGGAGAAATTGAAGGAATTAAATCATTCTATAAAGCACAATTATTAACTTCATTTTTGGTCCTAGTTTTTTTATTTAAATACATAAATATTTTTAGTAGAGGTTACCACATGGCCCTTGAAATTTATAAACAATTTTGTAACAAGAAATTGCCAGTGTATTACATAATTTTTGGTTTTTGACTAACTTTATACTGTATAAGAAAAGATTGATAAGAGGAAAAAGATTTCGGTTATATTTCAAAGGTGAGTTTATACAGTGACAGGTTAGATTTAAATGACATCCATCATGTCATGATCGAAAATAATCATGAAACGGTTCTTATAAATAATATTTTATTTCAGGTGGTCCAAATCAATTATATGAAAATCTTGTTATTTTATTTTCAATCAACTGATGATGTTTAAGTCAAAAAGATTATTAAAAACAGCTGCAGTTGGAATAATTGGATTTGGTACTCTGGCATCTCTGAGAGCTAATGAATATGATTTGGGATCTATAGGTATTGTAAGACTAGGACGTGCTGCAGCTACTGTTTTTGTAATAGGTAGACATTACAAGAACGAATTATATACAAGCAACCTAAATAAAGGTAGTCCAGAATATGAAAGCTTAAAGTCAAAGGTACACAAATATGGAGCAGAAAGACTTCTGGAGCTCTGTTGTGCAAATAAAGGTGTTTATATAAAAGTAGGTCAACATATCGGGGCATTAGACTACTTATTACCACCAGAGTATGTTAGTACTATGCGAGTGTTACATAGTTCTGCACCACAATCATCTTTCAAAGATGTATTAAATGTGATTAAAGAAGATTTCAAAAAAGATCCATATGAAATATTCGAAAGTATTGACAGTAATCCTTTAGGAACTGCCAGTTTAGCACAAGTTCATAAAGCTGTATTAAAGGATGGTAATGTTGTTGCTGTTAAAATTCAACATCGAGCAGTTAAAACAAATTCTTATGTAGACATAAAGACTATGACAACTTTGGTAAAGTTAACATCATTAGTCTTTCCAGATTTTAAATTTGATTGGCTTGTCGATGAAACTAAAAAGAACATTCCTAGAGAATTAGATTTTACACAAGAAGGGAAAAATGCTGAAAAAGTTCAGAGGCTGTTTTCACATTACCATTGGTTGAAAATACCAAAAATATATTGGGACATTTCATCCCGACGTGTTTTAACAATGGAATTTGTAGAAGGAGGTCAAGTCAATGATTTGAAATATATTCAAGGCAATAACTTAAATCCGTACGAAGTCAGCAGTAAGCTAGGTCGACTGTATAGCCATATGATATTTATTGTGGGGTTTGTGCATTCTGATCCACACCCTGGTAATATTTTGGTTCGAAAGAAAAATAACGAAGCAGAGATAATACTTTTGGATCATGGTTTGTACGCAGACCTCTCTAATGAATTCCGATGGGAGTATTCTAAACTGTGGTTAGCAATATTTGATAGTAACAAAAATGCAATGCAAATGCATTGTGCCAAATTGGGTGTGCCCGATTTATATGGGCTACTGGCTTGCATGGTATCAGGTAGATCGTGGAAAGCAATCATGGCAGGTATACAGAAAACTAAATATGATATCAACGAAAAGGAGGAGTTTCAAAAAGACATACCAAGTATGTTACCAGAGATTAGCAATGTACTAGAAAGAGTCAACAGACAAATGCTATTAATTCTTAAAACGAACGATCTTGTGCGTTGTATCGAACACTCTTTGCACACAGAATCTAGAATGTTTGCAATGATGGAAATGTCAAAGTGCTGTATCAATTCTGTGTATGGAGAAAAGTTGAAATCATGCACGAATACATGGATAAAGTGGAAACTTTCTATAGCCCAACAATGGTCACTATTCAAATTATCATTATATTACATATACTTAGGAGCGCTAAATTTCGATCTAAAAGAATCTATAGAATCGTTACTCAATAATAGCTATTACGCTTTTTAAGGAAAATTTTGTTTCGGAAAGAATATATTTTTATTTAAATTACATAGATTGTTATTTAAATAATGCAATAAAACGTTTTTTAGGGGTCTATTTAATTTTGTTCATTGGAACAAATTATTCAGAGATAATAGGCAAATTATTTTGTATAAAATATGCAAATAAATATTTATTGATTATGTTATATACGAACTAAAAAAGGTACAAATTAATAACTTATGTGCGGAATATTATTACTTCCATGTACGATATGTACAAATGTTGATATTTTCTGTATTAGTTATGTAAATTCATTGTAAAACAATAATAGTCAAATTGTCACGACATGATTTTTATATACATATGTACATAACTATATTGCGCATAGCATGTCTATTGTTGTTTCTTTATTGCATGAATAAAGATTGTATGTATTATTTACCTGCAGACAAAAGAAATTAACGTGTATTCGATCGTTTCTTAGATTTGATAAGAACATTATGTATACTATAAATAGATTCAATAATAAATTATATTTTTGTTTTGGTTTTAGACAGAAAAACAAAGGAGAAATAAAATTTTTTAAGTCAACCGTACTGTTAGTTGAATTTATTAAATAAAATCTCTTGTTCGAACAAGACGATAAATACATACATATATACATATATCTATTGTCCGTTCCCTTCGGGGAAAAGCGTCCTTTGTTCAAATATCCTTTCTTCGCTGTAACTCCAACATCTGTAAGCCATTTACAATGGCTTGTCCTTTGTTATTCGACCATCCCCATTTTTATGGGGCCCAATAGGGCCAGAAGCCAGACTTCAAGATGTTGCCATTACTACCGAATATTTCATTCTACAATTTTTTACATGTCTTACATCTTTTAGACATTCACTACAATTCTATTATTGAATTGCAATAAGCACGATAAATATAAAAATGAGGTCATAATATAATCAATGAGTCAGTGAAGTAAACTTCTTTTCTAAGAAATCCAAGCAAGTATATATACATATGTTATACGTTTCGGATCGAAATGCAATATTTGCGTCATTCGTTGCGCATGCCTGTTTTAACATATCATACTCAGTAAAATCGTAAAACAAATGCGTTAAAGACACGCAGTTTAATATTTTCCGTAACATTAACTGAATATGATAAATAAAAATTTAATTTCTATCAAAATATACATTTTTTTTTGTACATAGGTTCATAAATTACAGATTATTTCTAAAGAATTACATTTTTTTATTAATTATATTGTAGTTTTGATGTTTCACCATGATCAACATAAATGATTATTCTTTTCAGAAAAGAAAATAATAATACTGAAAGGAAAGCGTCCTTTCCTGACACATCTGTGAGGCGTAGTAGGTAGACAGTTACCCTTGGCAGTGTTGCCAGATGTAACATCTCTACGGGGAATCGATTTATGTACTTTAATTTATATAATTATATCTATATTTGTGTTGTGTTATTTTTTTCCTCCCTTCATATTAATATTGATAATGGTATCCATGCTTTCGTAAAAATGAAGGAATCCTACTAGCAAGAATGTTAACAATCTTTGATTCTCATATATTTTTCTTCCTAAATTTGATCTATTTATTCTAACATACCAGAAATTTTGGTATGAACATCATTTTGTAAGTATTATATTCAAAACTAAACCTGTTTTAATCTCATAATTTACCAGAATTCTCTGAATCGTAGTAACGTTTGCTCAACGTTGCAGAAATATTTGTCAGCGTCGTTGTAACAAAAATCTTTCAATTCAATTTATACCTAAAATATATAATACATTTACCTCTTATTTTAAAAATTTTATCAATACCTATACCATAATTTAGAAAAACAATTGGAAAATATGGAAAATATCATTGGAACACCTAAAACTACATCATTGATCGAATTGGCTCGAAGACCTGGCAACGCCGTAAATTATCCGCAACGGAATAGAGTATGACGTTGCTTGAGAAGGGCATTCAAGTGGTGGGGTAGTCGACCGCAGTACACATTCCTACGCCAAATCTCTTATTTGTGAATTGTACGAGTTTTTATAAATCTCGCCAAATATATTTAAAATTCAATGTGAAAATTATTATGTATATGATACAAAGTTGATTGGATGAAAGTATTTGCAAAAACAATGAGGAAAATAATATTAACGATACATTTTGTTGGGGACTATTTTCTATTGATCGCGCGGAGGTATACCACTTAGTACTGCGCTTGGGGATATAAAAGGCCCCCCCCAACGGGCGTAGCCCTGGCATTTCCTGAGTCATCATCGAGCGGCGAAGGCTGTATCTTGCTCGCTGATTTCAAGGTGTTTTCGAGTTACCACGGGATTCTCTTCCGTCGTTCAACAAGAAAACACGAGCTAGGTACAGGTTGGTGTCCTTCTTACTTATTCAGTAATTAGGGGTGAGAGAAAGTTTACGAACGTGAAGGGGGTGTGATTGCTGCTATTCGCTTTGTATGTTATTCTCTTGTGAGAAAACAAAGCAGAAAATTTCGAAGATATTCGTTACGTCGTATCGACGTTGGAAGAGAAAAAAATCCATCGAGGGATCGTGCATCAGCCAAGGGAGCTGTATCTACATCATGGTGGCTACAACGAGACCTCGAGAGATCGACGTCGATAAACCGAGCCATACTGAAGAATTAGCAAATTGGATCAGTCGAGTTCGCTGCAAGAAGCTGATGTGTCGTCGAAATCGGAAACGTGATCTACGCGTCGAGGCGGTCCTTACTTGTGCACTATTCAAGGCCGAGCACGAACTGCGTAGTAAACAATTATCTAGAATTTCAAAGTGGCAGCAGTTCAAAAAACAGTTTCTGAGAGACGGAGATTATTCAAGTTGCGACTTTTATGCCGGCGAAGATATCAAAATCTCGAAGTCTTGTTATCAAGAGGAGGATCCGTGGCGAGGTCCTTTGTGCCCGGAATTGACTAGTCTGGATAATTTCATGTCGAAATTGGGCGAGATTAAAATCCCGTTGCAGCGATGAAGAAACGAAAGAAAATGGACGTCCGGGTCTGAAAAACCTGGGAACGCATATTGAATCCAGTTCACGAAGACGTCGTTGGCAGTTTTGCCAATGGATAAATCTCGCGGCATTGGCTTTATCAGCAGTTTATGTGCCGTCTGAAATCCAATATACCGACCGCATCGCGGCGGTACTGTGGGACTCTGAAGTCGCATCACTATCCTGGTGTATATCTGGGTGTTTTTTACTTGCAGTCTCACCGTTTGAGATGGCAATGGGACGGGCGGAGGGAGTTGCTGTTTGCAGTGATGCTGTTTGCTGGGCATTCCGCAAGGGAATCAGGGATCCCATGTTCTAGAGTCTATCTACGCCTTTCACCGGTTTGGTTTGTAAACTGTATCGGAGCCAATGTACTTTCTTTTCAGTCATTTTTTTGTAACGATATGGATATTGGAAATATGAAAGTTAGTTGTTAATGTTAAAGAACATTTGATTTGGAATATTTTTTTCTTTTGCTTTTTCAGAAATACTACACGTTTGTTGAGACCTAAATTTATAGTTCTCGCCATGATACAGCATGGTCATAGAGTCACTCTAGCATAAGAGGTGTTCCATAAGTAAAGTTTATTTAAAGCTGGTTCCGAACATTGGAACAGCCTTTTATGCTGTATAGTGGCGAGGACTATACCTTTGTAGACACAATTTGAAAGATATTTGTACAGTATATTTACCTGAAACGATAGTCATAATACTGATTGTCATTCCAAAGAATCTGAAACTTGTGTAGATTTTGTACGTTATGCAAAGCGTGTTACTTTAACATCTGTGTACATATTGTTATATAGCAGAAGAGGAGCAGAATTTGAAAGAATAAATGTAAACAAGAAAAATGGGCAACCTATTATCTAAAACTTTTCTGATTCACCATTATTAATACCGAACGTCCTTTTCAGTCTGGCATACACCTTACAAAACTTATATCGCACGCAAGAGATCAGCACACATGTCGTCCAGGCTGTTGCTCGTCATCGGCGACGTCATTGGCCTGTCCTATAATAACCATAAGAGTGAAATAAGAGGAGTGGTGAGAGAGGTTAATTAGTAAGGGATGAGGAAAGGGGGCAAAATGTTTGTTTCTAGAAAATCGCGCACGAAGTATTGCGGCTGAGTTGCACGGCGAATCAAGTCATACAAACACCACCTTACGATCACACTTCCATATCTCGACCAAGCATCAACTATTCCCAGTCATCTGGTCGGTGAGATGTAAAGGCTCACTGCGAGACAAACTGCAGCAAACTTGACCCCTGTTCGGTGAGCTATTCCCTTCTCTCCGTTACCTGTGCAAACCTATTTTCTCAGGTGCAGAAAGGTTTTTCCCGACGCTTGCACCGCCTAAGTCGTACGTGGGTGTTGTTCTGCTTATTGACATACAATGCGAAGTCAACTAAGCTGGCTAGCCCAAGAACTGCATAGTGTGTCCCGTTCGAAATAGGCCGAGGGCCTCGAGGTATGGAGAGAGTAATTCATTGCATGTCTGTTGATTTGAGACGACCCAGAAGTGCCCAGATACTTATCGCAAGTAGTAAAATTAATTTTCATTCGAGCATGTGAATATTAAAAAAGGCTCAAACGGAATATATATATATTTATATATATAATTTTATACGCGTGGTACCGGTTTGTAATTTTTGTTTTGCGGCATCATGCCTTCGGATAATTATTTCCACAGATACGATGTTCCGGAAATTGTTCTGTAGGAACTAGAGCAAGAAGATCTGTGTAAAGTATGTTCTAGATATCAGAGTAAGGTAGCGCTTCTCGAGGAGAGGTATGGCGGAAGTTATGCGAACACAGGAAGAGGTATCAGTTCATATTACAGTTGAATTAACGCGAGGATTGAGCAGCACATTCGAAATTCTTTGGTTAAAACTTTGAAGACTTAGAAGAAGGTAGGGAGGGAGGCAGGAATTTGAGAATGTTTTCTTTACTACAGAAAGTTTCGCTCGAATATGGATGTGTGGAGCTGTAGTGCAATATTGACAACAAATAGGAAAGCAGCTGCATCGTATAACAGCTAATGGCAAATCTAAATGATATATTCATACCTTACTGGAACAAAGTGGTGCAGTATTATTTTTTACCTAAGAGAGGAAGTATGCGTATTGATAATCAGACATCTGGGAAGACAGGATAAAATGATTAATTGTCTACTTACCATTGAGAATATGAGCTGAAGGTTTGGTATAAACATGGTTTAAACAGAGTTCGCTCCTGTATATGCTTTGAGGAGCCATGGTATCATGTGTCATATGATTTTATGCATATCGTTTTTTAAAACTTCCTTGGGGGAGTTTCTGTTCGAATATCTTTTATACTGCAGGAAAACCTGAAAGATACGCATTTTGGATGCACAACTCTAAGGTGAAGCTACTAGAAGCACTTTTCCTCTTAATGGAACCGTATCGCGCTCTCGGTATTACGAAGGTACATCACGGTATGTTTAAGTACGGAAACCGGAAAAGGGGAAGGAACTACTATGTTTCAGCTAGAGACTGGTTAAGGAACGCGTATTACCCAACATGCAGTCGTGTGAGCTTATTATCCTTTAAAATCTTAACTGGGACCTGATACATAAAGTTGTACTTGATCGTACTATTGCGATGAGGAGTTTCTGATGTTAAGACAAATAGCATTTTTAAAGAGAGATGTAGACATTACGGAGGAAGGTAACAATTCAATATGCTGGACAACTCATTTTTTTGTAAATATTAGACGTATATACGGGGGAAAAGCTTTTGGGATGGGCCACGAAATTTTATGTAAGCTGCAGGACTGAAGCTGTGTGCGCGCCTCTATCGCAGTGGATAAAGTATATTCAGACGGAACTACTCATTATGATGGAACGCCGGACATTCCTTTATATTCATAGTAACAGCAGCAAGATACGATTCTGCAGTTTCAGTAACATTAAAGGAGCACTACTTTATTTTAATTAACAAGCATCTTGGTACACGAGCAAATCCATCGAATTTTTATTTCTTTCGGTTCTTTAGAAATGATTCGAGATGATTTGGAGATACTCAGTGAAGGAAAAGAATGGAGAGCAGCAGCCTATGTTATATGCGTTCATTTCCATTAAATTATCGTAATAGTGTTATCTTCAATAAGGTATTTTAGATCAACCAGGTGATGCATTTTACATATTTTTAAATACATATGGATAGTTCAGAATTATTGGTTAGAAAATTTTGTGTAATCATATCTGTTTAGAAACATGTGGGGAAGGGATGGGTGGAGGGGGGACGGTATAAACCAATTTTACCTTCTTTTCGCAGACATGTATGAGCAGGTGGACGAGTGTTGAAAGTTTGTTGTGAAACCTGACAAAGCATGACGACACACCACAGTAGCATTAACCCTTTGAAAATATATATAGGTGTATATATATTATTCTATCAGCGAGTTAGGATTGTTTGAATGTTTACTCATCAGCTATTGTTTGGGTGTACATTGCTGGCGAATGGATTTTTTTTTTATCTCTGCTACAGATAATGCAAGAAAATATCACATTTGAAATATCGGTTCTATAAATGGCCATTGATCCACTGGAAGGCGCTACTCAAAATACTGTATGTATTGCCCACTGGAACATTATTTCTTTCACATTGTTAGGAAGAAGAGATTTGATTCGATATTAGCAGAATTTTCGATGTCCTTAAAAGTATCTGTAATAGTATGAAAAATGCACTTTCGTGGATGAGTCTCACCATGCTTGAAGTACGAATATGGCCAGCCACTAGAAAGTATATTAGTCCTCTGTGCTTGAAATAAAAGGTAATGCATATGTCAGAAACGTGCAAATGATCCACCGCCAAGCTTCTATCAGGTAACGGTCCCTAACCATACATTCAATTAGACTTTATAATCGGACGTAAAAGATGGTATTCGTACGAATTGAATATTTACATCATAAGGTATGATTATTGCAGATTCATTGTTCAGTGTGTAGAGTTTTTCTTATAAAAATCTGTAACTTTTAATACGATAGATTAATGATCCATAAAAACATTGCTGTTTATAACTCGAAGGAAATTGTATAATCACGTAATTTGAAAGGACTACTTGGAACTAGTTCTACCATTTGTAGAATTCTATTAACCCTTTTGTGAATGAGTTGCATTTCAAGTTTGTATAGTGTTAAGTGCACAAAAGATCTTGTAATTGGATGCAGTATATCTTTGCTGTCTGCTAATGCGCTTGAAGTTTTGTTATATGAGAATTAAGAACATTGTCTTGGGGAATGCAACGGCTCAAGCTTTACAATAACAAAGCACATGCTCGGTCTAAAAGCCTTATATAACAACCTATTTGGATAATCAAACAGTATTGTTAGAAAGTTGATTCGTAGTAAGACTTCGGTAAGTGAATAATTGTGCAACGTGTACTTCCATTAAAACAAAGACAGAACAATGTCTTAGAGGCAGTCATTAGAGTGATGTAAATGTACATGTCATTAGTTTCTTACGATCTACTGTAATGCCCTGAGTGTTGCATTTTATGCTTTGGTGGCTTTTCTCGATCCAGGTAATTAGTATGTTCTGTATGCTTTGCTTGTACAGTTCATTTCTGTTACTAAATTCTACTTTTAAATAAGCATATACCATAGTGTGGTTAGGTGGAACCGGGGCGGGAGGGGTACATTAATCCAATGAAAGTTAGATATATTACAGAATAATATCCTGCAGCATAAACATTTTACATGCTTGTTACCGAATCCATACAATTGCTGGACATTACAATCAACGTGATGTAGGGTGAATTGAATATTTAAAGATGCTGGTATGAAATTCATGTAAAGGACCTACACAGTTCAAGGAATTGATTATTCCATTTCAAAAATATTCCTAATTCAACTGAAACTGCACTACAGTCATTAGTAGGTGTGAATTACTTTCGTGTGTTTTCTTCTCGAAAAAGCTAACCAAGTGTTTTAGAACCCGTTTTCCGAGTATTGAGTTCGTGCAAATGAGAGGAGGAGAGTGATTTGCCGTGGCAACAGCATCGAGTAATGCTTGCTTGAAATCCAAACATTGAGACTTCCACTCGCCGGCGGGTCCTGCATATTGGGGTGTGGTCTGTTACCTTAATTAGTGAATTCCTGTCGATTGTCGGATGATTACCTTGAAACAGTTTGGTCTGATGTAATGGGATTCTTGTAATGCTAAACGACTTGTTGCGGTCTGATGGCGGCGATGATGAGTAACAGGGGCACGCACACTATCCTGTTTAAAATGGAGTGTACTGACTTGGACATCGGGGTCGTTCGTTTGCGTTCCTGAAAGTGGAACTACGGGATAATCATTCCATATCGAGACAAAAATACGATTGAATGGGATATGCGTTTTCTTTTCGGATTTTCAATAGGCCTTGATGGATATTTTACGGTGTAATGCAACAGTCATCGGTGCAGAGTTCCAGCTAACAGGCCTTTTTTTTTTATAAAAAAATGTAAGAAGCTTGTGCTTGAATATTTCTTTCACTGTTTGTTATACGTAGGAATAAATTAATGGGAACGTTTTTATTTTCAGATTTTCTTGGTTAATGATGTGATAACATATATGAAATACCTTTTGGTATTGCATCTTTAATGCTTCCAGTTTTTGTTGAATTTTAAAATCATAAAATTTTACTATGATCTAGTAGATTGGTACATTCAAAGATGTTATATTTATCAGAAATTAAAGTACAAAGTAAACTTGCCGATGATAATTGGCTGATGATAAACGTCATCAAACTGGGTGATGATGATAAACGTCAGCAAACTGGCTGATGATGAACGTCATCAAATTGGCTGATAAACGTCAGGAAACTGACCGATAATATTAAATAGCACATCCTAAAGCAGCAATGGGCAAAGTTGGCTGCCAGGAGCTAAAACTTTTTTCCCGACCACCGACAGCCGTTACCATATGGATTAACTGAGACAAGAGTGAGCTTCTTCGTCTCTAGGCGCGTGAGGAGTTTTTAAGCTACCCAGTGCTGTACTAAATAGAATTCGTTCGATGAATTTAAGAGGAACCAAGAAAGCGTTATTATCTACAAAATGGTATAAAAGAATGTTAGGATATGGGTTTACGGGAAATCGTATGAAGAACAGGACGAATGCCTATTTGTTAACAGTAGAAGGGTGAGGAAGTTACCACTTCTGGAAATTTGTGAAATGCAAAAGAAACCTTCATCGTGGGACTTCGTGGTATGCTGAAGAAGAAACCGGTCATCGCGGGACTTCGTGGGATGGTGAAGAAGAAACCGGTCATCGCGGGACTTCGTGGGATGGTGAAGAAGAAACCGGTCATCGCGGGACTTCTGGTGGGATGCTAAAGAAGAACCCGGTCATCGCGGGACTTCTGGTGGGATGCTAAAGAAGAACCCGGTCATCGTGGGACTTGTCATGGGATGCTGAAGAAGAAACTGGTCATCGTGGGACTTCTGGTGAGATGCTGAAGAAGAAACTGGTCATCGTGGGACTTCTGGTGGGATGCTGAAGAAGAAAGTTTCGTGTGGCACTCTGAAGAAGAAACTGGTCATCGTGGGACCTCGTGGGATGCTGAAGAAGAAACTGGTTATCGTGGGACTTCATGGAATTCGGAGAACGGGACTTTCAACGTGGGACTTCGTGGGATACTGAAGAAGAAACTGATCCTCGTGGGACGCCGAAGATACGACCTTATCAACGTGGGACTTCGTGGGATACTGAAGAAGAAACTGATCCTCGTGGGACGCCGAAGATACGACCTTATCAACGTGGGACTTCGTACGATGCTGAAGATATGATTTTGTCGACGTGGGACTTCATGGGACGCTGAAGATATGGACTTGTCAACGTGGGACTTCGTGCGACGCTGAAGATATGGACTTGTCAACGTGGGACTTCGTGCGACGCTGAAGATATGGACTTGTCAACGTGGGACTTCGTGCAACGCTGAAGATGAACTTGGCAACGTGAGACTTCGTGGGACGGTGAATGTGAAACTGTCAACATGGGACTTCGTAGGATGCTGAAGATATGAAAGTATATCAACATATATGATTTCATGAGATCTAACATACTAGAGAAGCAGTTGACGCAATACTTTAGCATAAGATGAATTTTTTGAACATGCTGATCAATGTTTGCAAAGAGAGACAACTACAGTACCTGGGTGGAACTTGGTACGAATTCCAAGAGTAGACGAATTATCAATGTGTGACTTCATTCCTAACCTAGACTTCATTTGAAATAGAAGAAAATGACGTTAATGCTGGGTTCTGTGGATTCTGACAGAAAAGGTGTGTATCACGTGTTGCTATTTTGGGATGGAGAACGTTATGTGAATGGCGAAGAAGGTATTTCAATTCCCAATGTCAAATTTTTGTGATCTAATATTTTGTTTTATATTCTGAAAATCGGCTTAAAGTATTTGCATTGTAAGATATTAGTAAAAGTGTATTCCAGTTTGGCGAGAACTACAGTTTTTTTTTTAAATATCTGGCACGTATTCGAATTGTTCTGTTGAAATTATTCGTTGATGAAAGAATGCGTAAATTTTTTTTGAAATGTTGAGATATGACGAAATACACCATTAGCGGCATATTAATAAATCAAAAATAGAAGAAATACCATTTCTTCAACAGTTTTCAACAACTGGTAGATTGATTTGTTGATAGAGAGATAATATCTAGACTAGATGGCATCTGCGGAGGGAATGGTCTGGCATCGGAGAAAATGAGCGATGGACAACTTATGCAAATTTCAATGGAGCACTGTGCTACTAGGCAATGACTTTGTGGAATGTAAGGGTTCAAAGCAAGCAACTTTCGTGGGATTCGGTGGCACTTCCTGGCGCTTTCTGGGACCTCATGGTACTTTTTGGGATTTTATGGAACTTTCTGGGACATCGCGGGACTTTCTGGGACATCGCGGGACTTTCAGGGACATCGCGGGACTTTCAGGGACATCGCGGGACTTCGCGGGACTTTGCGGGACTTTGCGGGACTTCGTGTAAGACTTCGTGGAACATTTTTGAGATTTAGGCGACAATTTCGAGAAATATCCAATGACTACAGATAATTGTATTCGTAGAGTCACTATTGTGTACACTCGTGTATTTGTTTTAATATAAAATATATTTGTCGTCACTTAACGGAATTTTAGTTTCAGCTTGTATTAAATGCTTATAGTTTATTACTCGTATTTATTTTTATTTTAGGATTTATTTCACATAATAATCAATTGAAAAAGTTGATGTGATATTTTATAATTTGTATTTATACATTATATACATACGTTAAATAACAAGTTTATTGATCCTATTCATAAACAAGAAAGAAATATATATAAGAAATACTTTACATTTCATGTTTTAGTGAAATAAGATTTTATAATCGTTACGTTTGCATGCATTTATTAGGCTTGTCCATGCTGGTATAACATGTTTCTAAATAAATGAACATTAACACGAATTTTGTGACCAACATATTTCTGTAATCGTCATTGTCCTATCATTCAATAATTGAAAGATCAGATTTTATTATAATCTTCAACTTTTGGTTTAATTACATAATTATACATTAAAAACATGCTAAAGCTTTAGCCTTTTTATGTCTTCCGGACGAAAATCTGTTCTTAGAGACGCGATGCGTCGAACTTCAGCTGGTGTCAATCTCCACGCAATTGCATCTGCTCCGCAATAGTCAGCCAATTCTTCTACTTTTTCTACACTTAATATAGTAGCTATTTGCGTCAATCGTGCAAATTTATCACGTACAGACCAAGATGTGGCGGCAGCCAAATAACTTGCCAATGATCTTACTTCTTTATCAAGTATGAGGCCCCCTGCCTAAATAATTAAAATTGTAAGTAAGAGACCAGTGACTACAGATATAATAAGACCTATGGATGCCATTGTTGCCGAGGGGTCATGGCGTATGAGTGCCTGAGGATCCCAGAGTGAAGGTCAGGTTTCTATTACCGCAGCGAAATTCTCGTCTGTATTGTATCCATTGTGCTATATACAGTTCAATGGTGGTATTTATATGCATCCATATGTATCCTACATGTATGCAACAGTACATAATAATAGTACAGTTTCATAGTCTTATGATCAGATATAGAGCAGATGGCGATCGTTCTCGAGGCACACGTTCATGAACCCTCGACAAAAACGGCATCCATAGTCTTACAATATCTGTTGTCACTGAAGAAACGTAATAAAGATGATCGAGTATAACCCATACTTACTCTATTAAACGTGGATTTTAATAAAACTTTTTCTAATCGAGCTGTAACCTCGGCGGTGAGAAGGCCGATTAAGGCATCATAATTCGATGTGGTTAAACTGCCTTTAAAAGACTGAAGTAGACCTTCTAAATTCATAACTAGAGTTTGTACAAATGGTTCTTCTGTTTCATACCGTAACAAATCATCCTGCAAGCATGTGCCTCGGTGTTACAATCAATAATACTCTGCAAATATTCTTGGTTAGCTCACCTCATTGACATGATGATCCACGGATAAAAACGCATCGACCCAGGGAGTCACTCTCGGTTTAACGGCACTTACACGTAATTGTTCTAACCCATAGTCTGTAACAGCTCGTAAAATCGACATAACACCTTTTAGACCAGATAAACAACTGTCAATTTTACCCCTATCTTTGCCTTGCATATTAGGAAATGTTGCATCTATTTCAGCATTCAAACTTTTACACAGCGTTTCAACGTACTCGATACTTACGTCGGTATTATTTAAGTATGCCTGTGTTAAATAATAAAGTATAAACAAATCTGTATATCATGAGAGAACGTTTTCAATATTACAAGTAATTTTACCAAGAACATTAGACGAGCAAGTTCTGTGTCTGAAGTTTGTAAACGACCATGTTGAATACTTGTTTGGAGAGCGCTGTATGCTTGAGCCAAATCTAAGTATCCAGCAGGATACCCTTGCCTTAGTCGGTTGCGTAATCTGTTCGCAAACTCTCCTTCCAATATACCGCAAGCCATATTGACTACTGCACAGACACCGTCTATACTCCAACTGGACATGGACCGCCTGTACAAATAACATTTCAATATAGTTTGAACAAACTGAAAATATCTATAACTATTGATTGATTCACCAACAACATGCATGTATTTTAATACCTTATACATTTTTGTACTATAAAGAATACATCATCAACCATACTCGATGTCTGTTGATCATGATCTAAGGTATCCATTCCTAATGCTTTATTCACACTTTCTTCAAGAAAATACCTTTCCAATGCAAGATAAGCACCTAGAAGTTCTTGCATTCCACGTGCTAAATCGGAGTTACTCACTGTATTCTCAAATTCATTCATTAAGTCTTTGTACTGTGCATCGTTTGCTGCGCTAATTTCTATGTCATTCTATAATCAAAGTGTTGATTAAATCTATGTGGAAATGTAACATTAAAAAATCATTGTATAAAATACGCGTCCTACTTACTTTAACTCTCCGTCTTAAGAAACGAATATACAGTTCTGCTCGCGAATGCATTATAGTAATTTCTCCTAGTAATAAATCAAACTCTTTAGGATCTGCTCTTTCAGAACTTGGTTTTCGAAGATAATCATTTATCATTTGTTCTTTTTTAGATATACATCTGTGTTTTGTAAATTCTGCAATAATCTTCTTGACTTGCCTATTGAAAACATGACTGGTAACAGTAGTACTTTACAGTCTCTTTAAAGTTATATACACAATTTACCTGTCACACTCCTTTTGTAAGATAGAAATTGTAATTAATAGTTTTCCAGGACCATAGTATGTTTCAATTATTGGTTGATGTATTTCTACAATACGTGCAATTCCTTCGAATAACAATGTCATAGTGTCAGCAAAAATAACAGATGCTCTTTTGTCATTACTCTTAATCTCTAAAGCTGCTTTCAAATTTTTCTGTGCTGCTTCGTGTAACTAGTACCAAAGTAAGACTTATTAAATAGAAGAAGAGTGCTTTGTTTGAATTTCTGAACTGACAAATTATTCATTTCATAGTTACCTTTGTACATAAATAGCCACAAAACTTTTTAAGTCCTTCAGAGTGCATTCCTAATAGAGGAAATATTTTGAAGAATCTTTCCACAGAAGCAAGATCTTCCGATTTTACTGCTTCGTCAAACTTGTGCGTCACCACCGTTCTAAGTTGCAAGGCTGCTTGCTGTAAAGTAATCAATGAACTACTGATACTAGTATGATCCATTGAAATATCTTCAGCTGTTCTTTCTAGTAATTGTTGATCCATTGACAAGTAACGATGCACATGTGCAGCCCCTTGTTCATAATCTTCGTTGCATAATGCCATAGCTACACCCTCACTGCATAATTGTAAATCAAGAATGTCATTTACACGTCTCTGACATTCACAAACTCTGCTCTGTGAGTAAAACCATAAACAATTAAATTGTATCTAATAATGTATTATTGATAAAGCAGAAGCTGATGTTAATACACAACTTACCCTTGCTAAGTCTAGTTGTCTTACTTTGGCACTTACATTTTTAGCTAATTCATTAGTATTTGCGATCATATTATAAAATTTTTCACCTTCTTCCCGTATTTTAATAACATTAGGTAATACTTTGCTTATGTTTTGTAGTTTTGCTTCTACATGACAATGCCTTGACAGTATAGTTTCTAATGTCCTTCCGGTTTTAATCTACAAGTTAACAATTGTTATTCAAAATAATTGTAACCTGTATTCACGACGGTTCAGGCAGTCCATGTATTAATGAATAATGTGCAAAAATAAAAATTTTAGCATTTTAAACAGAAAAAAGAACAAAATGAAAACATTATCAGTTAGTGGAAGAAAAATGACAGAACCTCATCCTCTGCTAATTTATCGAGTATTTGTGTCAAGTCTTGCTGATTTAACGGTAAATCCATAGTGCGCAACATATATTTTGGTAAAGAAATCGACACAAACTATTCATAAAATATTTTATTCTGTATAAAACCATACAATAATGCCACGTCTGTAATAATTCTAAATCCACTCCATTTTAAACTGATTTGTATTGTAAGCAAGAATGGCAGGACAGAGAGGAGATGACAGTATGAGAGTGCTCACGGCGAATCGCTGAAACTGGTACCCATATAATTGGCTAGTAGTTTCAGCGATTCGCCACGGATGGCGCCACCGGTCGAAAAAATAGTGGTACTCCGCGATTAAATGCGATTTTAACAGTGTTCTGGTCGTTTATTGTTATTTTCAATGACAGGAGATTAATCTACGTTCTTTCAGCTACAACTCGAGTACTGTATCTAAACGAAAGCTATCCGTATAACGGTGTAACAGCTGTCCAAAGTGAACTAAACGGGGTATGCATGATGGAATACACTGTCAATCCAAACCTGTTGTTGTTAGGGTTGCCACTCCATAAGGGGTCAACGTTAATAGTAGCATAAATAATTGTACTAATTCTGGTGTTCTGCAGTATTGGGTTTACGCATTAAATCGTCAGGAATAATTTGAGACCGACGACGATCATTTTGGGCGCTTAATTACACCGGAAAATAGTTGGCCGGAATCATTATAATTTGTATGTATATTCCAATAAACATACGTCAGGTAATATAAGCTTGATTTCATCGGATTGTCATAAATATAACTGCATAAATATTGTACAATCCTGTACTAATTATAGTTATTTGGTTCAACAGGTTACTACAGAAACTAACTACTATCTGCGTCTTTTAAAGTTGAATATATTAATTAAAGTTGAATATATAACACTTCATTTGTGCTAATAATACTCAGAATGCATGCTTTATCGGTAACGTTGGGTATTGACACTAAAATGGTAAGGGGGCTTCGGATGCCCTCGAAGCATAGGACAGAAAATTACATTGTATGTAGGTCTATTCTTATATCTCGTCTGTGACGCGGGGTCTGTTACGTATGATTCGGGGTTCTATGACCCCACGCACTCACCGAATGATGTCCTTTGCTCACGCTCCCGGGGTTCTGTGACCCCACATATTCACCACACATGGAGTTTCTTGTACATGCTCCGGGGGTTCCATGACCCCACTTTCTCACACACCTCCACGGGACTCTTGCGCATGCTCCGGGGGTTCTATAACCCTTCTTACCTAAGCTTATAGCCTAAAGGATGAAATATTAATTAAAAAAATAAGATGTAGCTACTGTGACATTAAATAATATCAGCGCAGAAATTTCCAATGAATTATTTAACTCCACTGAATATGCTATAATCGGAATATAATCGGAATTCCGGTTGTTTTTCTATAGCTTTCTTCATATTTACACGCGCCAATGATCAAAATACAATAGAATAAACGTGGAATATTCATGAGAATATCATGGCATAATAGAAAAGACCTTTTATTTCGGTTAGTAACTACCAAGATGGTAAGTCTCCTCGACAAGGTTGGCACTACGATAGAAAGTTGGCTATTCGTATCGTGCATCGCGACTCATAGATATCCGGCATTAGGCCGCACGATCGACCACCATGCCGTCCACGAGGAAGCAAACAGGGAGAGAGAAAGAGGGCGTTGCAAAATGTCGTAGCCCGACACGAGGGTCCGTGAGGAGCTCGCGTTCAGTCGCAGCTCGGCGGTCTACACGGGACGATCGAGTTACGTGTAGTATAAGCACGGTGCGTTTCGCGTATATAGAGACGCGTACGGCGCATGTGTTAGTGGTCATAGGCGCAGCCTCGCGTGTGTACGCGTAACCGATACGCCGCCGGACGAGTTGACACACGCGCAGCAATGGCGTACCCCCCCGAAGAAGCCTGAACGTGTCGACGGTCGAATATTCTTTTGTGTTGCTGTGTGTGGTGTGTGTAACCGGGGGACAGAAAATCCGAATAAACGGGTGTATGCACGAAAGCCGACTGTACAAACGGGAGGCATTGCAGTGGCGTAACACAGTCTCTGTAAGGCTGGCAGAGACGGCTGCTACGAACGACGTTTACGCCCAGCCAGGAACCACAGAGCCCCATTACTTGTCATATAATACAGGCCGAGTCTCTGGTTCCCACGGTGGTCGTTTCGACCACTCGTGAAATGCTTCGCTAGGGAAAGAAAAAAAGGATAAACGCGAACGCGATGCACGACGGATATAGCCGTCGGAAAGGTTCGTGCGAAGGGATTGTGACAGAGTGAGTACGCGCAGGAGGGAAGGGCCAAGAAACGGAAATATCGTGTCGATATACGAATTAAAGGAGAAATCGTGGTAGGAACGGCGGAGAGAAACGACATAATAGACCGGTTACGAGTAAAGCCGGCACCTAGATTGCTCGTGTATTCGGTCTTGTAAGCTCTTGATTACAACTTCATTTCCATCCCCCTTTCTAAAACTATGCGATAAAACGTTTCCTTCCTCGTATACATTGGGGGCATCCTCGGTGTTGGATATAACCAATTGGTCCAACCCTTGGATAAGGCGACCCTGTACGAAGCGATGTGTCGTTCCCATTCCTGTCCGCTTCGTTCGAAGGTAAGCCCGTGACATCGTCCAGTGTGTGCCATAATCGTTGACACGATCGCCTCGTGTAAATACTACACCCAATAATAAGAAGAAGAAGAATTAAGAAGCAGAGGGGCAAGAGGGATAGATAAGAAGGATACGGGAGGGTGAGAACGAGCCGTCGTTGGAAAGAAGCGAAATTGCCGGAAGATCGCGGACGCGCGTCTCCGGTCTGTTCCTTTGAAAGGATTCGCAATCCCAACGCTGGGCGAGACGGGGAAGAACGGTTCGTCATCATCGGGGAGAATAATCGCAAGGATCTCGCAAAATGAAAGCCTAGCGTTCGAGGTGGGTCGTTGGTCAGCGGACGCGCAAGAAGGGACGGTTTGCCGGCGGAAGCCTGGATAGTAGGAGGTTTCCAACATGGCCGCCGCCTGCTACGAGAAGGAAGTGGTGGTAGGTGCCGCTATACACGGACACGGTCATCACCATCACCACCACCATCATCACCATCACCATCACCATCACGGTGCGACGGGGCAGAGCGGCCAACAGCAGCAGACCGTCCTGCCGGGTGCACCGACTATCCTCGACACCACCGCCGTCGGCACAGGCTCGGGCACGACCACCGCGAACACAACCGCGACTGCGGCGACCGCCGCAGCTGTGGCGGCCGCGGCCGCAGCAGCCGCGGTCGCCGTCACCACCTACAAGGACTACAAGGATTATTCGCAGCCGCTTCACGTGGATTGCAGCGTCGAGTACGAACTGCCTAGCCAGGCGAAGCCACCACCCGGCGGCGGCGAACCGCTTCTGATGATACATCCGTGTTACTATCGACGAGCGGAACGCGAGAGGAGAAGCCCGTTCGTTAACAATCTACCGCCGCCGGCGAACGCGCCAATATCCTCGTCGAGACGTACCAGCAGGAGAAGCGCGACGGCCGGAGTCGTGATCGCAACCGCGACCGTGTCGTCGACGTCGTCGGTGGTACCGTCCTCCACGGCGGTCGTATCCTCTGTATCCACCTCGACCGTGTCCTCGTCGACATCCGCCACTGCTGTCTTATCGGCGACCGCGGCAGTGGTCGCGACCACCGATACCGCCGCGAATCTGGTCTCCGCTACCGGTCAGATGTCCGCCGCAATGGCTGCATCCTATCGAGCGGCACTCAACGCTGCTGCGACGCTTTCTCAACAACAGCAACAACAAAGACGGCAACATCATTCGCAGCCCCAGCAGCCGCCACCTCCACCACCGCCGCAGCAGCAGCAGCCGCATCATCATCATCGAACACACGCCCAACATCCTCATCACGGTCCTCCGCAACAACCACAACAACAACAGGGTTCGATAACACCGACCACCGCTACCGGCAACGAACTGATTTCTGCCGACGAAAAAGCAGTTATATCAGGTATTTATCAACACTACTTCCGCGCGATGCGCGCTCACAATCATCAGCATCAACAGCAGCAACAACAACAGCCGCAACAGCAGCAACATCGTACGAGTCATCAACTGCATCATCAACCTCACCAAAGCGACAGAAGTTCCTCCACCTCGTCGGTCACGTCGACAGCCGCCACGTCGATATCCGGCATACTACGGCAGAGTTATCAACAGACGTACAACGCGAGCAACTCGAGCACCGCGAGCCATCTGCGGGTCGCGACCGCCTCCGCGGTTGTCGCGCATCATCCGTATAGGCGGCCGTCGGCCTCGTTGTTGTCGCGTGCGGCGTCCCACCTGGGACAGCAGGCCTCCCTGTCGTCATCTTCCTCCTCGAACTCCTTATCCTCGTCCGCCTCGATCGGTGCTTCCAGCGGCGTTTCGACCGGCGGTGTTTCGAGCGTGTACGCGAGCACGATACACAGGCATCACGCCGCCACATCGTTGCACGCCCTTCAGGCGGCCGGTTTTTACGAGACGCCCGGTTATCATGCGTTATTGCCGCAGAGTTAGGTGACCACCATCACCAGCAGCCCGCTAGAAAACGACCCCGTTGCCGTCGGCCTTTGTTTATTCACGTAATCCCGGGTGCAGCTCTGGTACTCCTATTTCCCTATTGTACGACTTATCTCTTCCACACGTTAAAGAGCATACGGGTTGGTCTAGTACACACCGATGGGGATACATCTATCTCTCCCGTACATACCCTCCTACCTACCCACCCACTCGCCTATCCGCTCATCTACCTGCGTGTGTATGTACTGTATACATATGTATAATGTGTCTATACGACGAGTACGTATATATGTGTACGTACGTATCCGTCGGGGACACACAACGATCGTACGTGCCGTGTTCGTTGGTTGGTTGGTTGGTTGGCAGTGTGCGGGTGGCCGACCGGACGGACAGACGAGCAGAAAGCCGCAGAATAAACGCCACGACCGGCGTGTACATCAGAGAGACACGCGCACACACACACACACAGATATACATCTCGAGCCGGGGGACAGATGGAGGGAACGAGACACAACTGTGAAACGGTCGTCGGGTACGCATCAACCGATTCCATCCACCTGCGATACTAGTGTTGCTCAGGTATAAAAATCCATTTGCTTAGGCCCGTATTAACGACGTATACATACTTTTAACCATATAATTCTCGAACCGATCGACACGTTTCCCCGTTTGTTAAAAGTTCGACGAAAACCCAAATGTCGTTTCCCTTCGGTGGACAGGCCCATTTATCGTACTAATTCGCTTTTCGAACGTATCGCTGAAAGATCGTTTTCGAACGGTCTTTCTCGTTAACCGAACACACCGATGTCGTGCGAATCGTCGAGCATCGGCTCGACAAATAATATTTTTAGGTCGTGCTCGATCGATGAACGGAGACGCCGAACGGACCACGGAGGGTAGGGTCGTTAACGAAACATACTACCGATATACAGTATTAGTCGCGTTTCTTTCTTCTTTTTTTTTTTTTCGCGATCAGCCTGTCGAATCCAATTAGCTCGCATATCGATATCAATCCGACGGCGGGTTTGCTTCAAGGTTCCCTCGGTGTGTTCTAATATCACATGTACGAAACTCGAATCGAGGATCGTGGTAAAATCGTGGAACGTATCGGGGCCTCGGAACGCGACGAACGATAACATGTGTTACCGATCCGCGTGTATTTAGTTCCAAAGAGAGCTTTAGACGTCGAATAAAGAAAAAAAATGGGAGTAACCGACGCATATTTATGTACCCGACGCGTATCTGTGTACCCTCACGAGCAAACTCGCCGTTCTCTAAAAGAAACAGCAGCGTAGTGGAAGGGCAAACGATACTTGGTGTCGTCAGTTACTGAAATTTCTGCTAATTTACCATTCAATATTTACTTCGGTACTTCTAATTAATTCACCAAGTGGTAGAAGGCCACGTTGCTTTTATCCCCTGACGGAAGCCGAGTTTGCTCTCCAGTGTACGTCCTGTCGTGTCTTTTTTCGATCCCGCTGGTGGTTTTTCGTTTCACGTGGAATATACAGGAAATAGCAGAGTACTGCGACGCAGCGATCGCGCCTGTTGTGTCCTCCTCTAACGGAATGTCCCGCTCGTGGTCCGTCTCCGTCAGTCGTGAGCGCGCGCGCGCACTTCTCTGTTTCTCGCAGGGAAGATCTCTAGAAAGCCGAGATTCCCAAGAGAGAGAGAGAGAGAGAGAGAGAGAGAGAGAGAGAGAGAGAGAGAGAGAGAGGTGGGGGCCTGGCGGCCAGGATTTCTTCTCTTTTCTTTTTTCTTTTTTTCTTTTTTTTTGTCCTGCGCCCTTTTCAAAGAGCGCGCTCAAGGAGAAACGGACGGGGACCGTATTTCGTTACACGGTAACGATCGATCAACGTGACCGCACGACCGCACCGGCGGTACGGGCGAGCCGTGGCGAAGCGAGACGAAGCGAGACGTAGCGAGGCGAGGCATGGCAGGCCGAGGCGAGTCGAAACGCAGAGAGAGAGAGAGAGAGAGAGAAGAGCGAGTGTGAGAAAGATAGTGTACGCTCGACGGGTCGGGACGGGTCGAGTCGACTCTTCGGGTCGGAACGGAACGGGACGGCGATCTCTGGGCGGGTTACGGGACGGAGAAAGACGGGACGAAAGGGACACACACACGAGTGCAACCGAGGCGAGAGAGAACAGAGAGACCAAAGACGAGAAAAGGGGGCGCGGTCAAGATGAGGGATCGGGGCGGCGGTGAGACGAGAGGAAACCATGAGACGTCGGGGGCTCTAATAGGGTAGAAGGGAGCAGGATGCACGTCCAACTTGGATTTCAAAAACACTGTGACGACCCATGGAGCGGCGGACGCACACGTGAAAACGTTCGGGACCTAACGTCGTGTGTATGTATAAACCCTCGCGCTAATGCGCACCGCCAACCCGTCGCTCCTATATAATTTCCACCCGTCCTCTCGCACGCGGAACCTTGGAAAAATGGGCTGCCGTGAGGGGCGGGAGGGAAAGACGCTTTGGGAAACGAACGGATACCCCGTCTCCCTTTTTGTTTTTTTGTTTCTTGCGTTTTATTTCGCCGATCCCTTCGGAACACGCTGACCAAAGTCACGGAAGCCCCGTTTTGCGTGCCCGTGCGTACTGTACACTACCGTCCGTAAGTGTTTCGGATATAATACGCTGTTAAGGTTAGAATGTTATTATTTTTCAATAAATAAGTCTGTCGTTTCGGATATTGCTACGCACCGAATTGAATAGGTTTGATTAGTTTTTGAATAGTACCAGGCTCCTTTATCATTAATTCTTTTGCAGAACTCGAATTCGCGATCTTTTGATCATTGAAAGGTTAAACTTAAACTGATTCTAACCAAACGCCTGCATCGTCTTACTGACGTGCTTTTTTCTTTGATATGATTGATATTCGTCTAAACGTATAAAAGTACAGTAAAGTTAGAAACAGGCTGCGGAAACTTGTTCTATTTGTATATGTATACATTCTACATATATACCTTTTCATTCAACTTCTAACTATATTATTTGTTAACACTAGAACTACCGAGCCCGTCAAAACGACGGAATTCAGATTTTTTATTTTACAATTACTGAAATCCTAGAGATACTTGATCTGAATTTATGTTAATCTCTAATTTTTTAGACACTTTATATTATAGTATACTAAACTATATTGCATTATATATTAAACATATCAATATATTACACAATTTAACTCAGCATACATTCAATGCTGGTAGTTCTAGTGTTAATAAATATCACGTTCGTCTATAACAATTTACTAGATTTTCTTTTGTCAAGAAGTTCTAAAAATCAGTGAATACATTTCATGTAGAAAATATTTAGAAAAATTCCGCAAAGTATTTCACAGATTTGCATCAGCATATCTATCCAGATACTTCTGGACGGTAGTGTATGTATATATATATGTGTGCATCTATATACGTATTGTCTTCGGTTGAGAACGGTCGTCGTTGGAAACTAGGTTCGATGGTATCGACTACCGATAATTCGCCGTTCGGTGAATATACCGCGACTGACTTTAACCACCTGCCCTTTTCCCTTTTGCTTCCGCGAGAGTTCCGTTGCTAGATCCCGATTCCACGAAAAGCCGTCTGACGCGCGCGGAACAGCCGCCCTCGCTAAAGAGCCGTTTATTTTTGTAGGAAAAGCTCCGTGTATTTTTGTGACGTGTCGGACGATTTGCGTTTTGAAATGGGTACGGTGGAAGCGGTGCGACGGTGGGAAAGGTGCTCGAGAATTTTTGAAGGCTTCAAGGGTCCCCAAGCATCTGTATGTCTTGGACCCGTCAATATGGTCAGCCGTCGGAAACAGGGATTTCCTGGACGGCCGTACATCACGTGCAAATATCCGTTATCCTTGAAACAGTTGTCTCTTGCAGCGCAACGCTGTTTTTGAATTTCATACGGAACCTTGTTCATTGGAGCATCTATCATATTGATTATCGATAGCAATACCGAACAGTTTGTTTCGAATATCACCTATAAAATCGAATCGGAACTCATTTTTTTTCTTAATAGTTGAGTGTCCATTTGACAATTTTTCTTTTCACATGTACAGAAAGTGGAAGCACGTGCAGCTTCCCCCGTAATGTATAGTTGTACATAGTCAATGTTTTCAGTACCGATTTCATCAGTACAGGTTTGTTTTGTAATAAAATCTCGATTGTTCGAATTTCGATCATTTTTAGTCTTCTAACCCCTATGCTCTGCGTGTATTTTTACCTAACCTCTCGATTATCCTGTAACTACGCAGCCTTGTTACACAACAAGAGGGAATTGGGATTCCAGCATTCGATCCAGAACTTGTGTTTCATCTATTTTTCACGAATGGTTTCCCCAGAAACACACAGGTTCGTCGAAACAAGTTTCACTCTCGATTCACATTTTCGAAAAAAAAAAAAAAAAAAAAAAAGGAACGCGTTTCCTCGCGGGATAGGTCCGTCTATTTCGAAACGGACTGTATTCTATACGCGTGTTGCGTTTGGCACCGCAGCACGCTCACATCGTCGGCTGACGCACACACCAGACACGGAATTATGCACCCTGCGACCCGGGGAACGGTCGATAGCAAATACATATCTCGGTTATAGATTGCTCGTAACGACAGAGGGTTAAACTTCATCCACTGATGGATATTTATACGAGGTGGAAGGAAGGAGGGCATTATTGTGCCTCGTTGAAACCCCCGTCGGACTCGCCCGTTATATAATATGACGTCGGCATTAGGTAATTAGGAAGCGTCGCGAGCAGAAACGTTGTGTCGCTGTCTTTGAAAAGGTTTCACTCGTTGCTTTGTCGGTTTCTCCTTTTTTTTTTTTCCTCCTCCACATACACATTCTGTTTCCAACGTTAACGATCGAAAGCCCCCGGTTATTTAAAAAAATGCTGTTTGCTCGTAGAATAATATCTTTCAAATATCCGCGGTTTCGAAAGTGTGTACACCAAAGATTAGCGGTTAAGAACGTGGACCTGTTTATTTTTCTTTTTTTTTTTTTTTTTTTCCGTCAGGCTTCAATCGAAACTGCTGCTCCGTAATATGTACGAAATGTCCCCGGATGGTGGACATTTTCCGTTGCGTGTGGACGTTTTACGAGGCTTCTCGGTAAATTCGTCGGTGCCGCCACAGCAGGGCCGTTCGAGTGGCAGCAGTTCGTTCCCGGCACTTACCCTCCCGTCGTCCATCTCTCGACCGAGCATTTCCGCCCCGC